CGAGTCGATTCATCCTGATCGGGCATAATGAGGCTGCGTGGAGAGGGAGCTGTGAGGTACTAGGATGGGTTGCGGATCGTTGGTCAGGTCTAGCGAGGGTCGAATGCGGTCCGCTTCTTTCCCTCAGACTTTGAGGGAATGTATGAAATCCCGACTGGGCTGCAGTGGTGGTGGCATGGTTTTGTGGGTGCACTTCTACGAGTCTGCCTGGACTCTGCGGTGTTGCGCTATGGAACCTCGCGCTGAGCGCGAGTAGAGCCGGTAGGATGGACGGACATGGTTTCGAAACTGTTCCAGGCAGAAACCTCTACCTCCCAGGGAAAGCGAGGCTTGTAGCTCATCAACATGGCTGGCTTGGTGCAGCAGCACTACTGGCTGATGCTTTCTTGGCCTCGACACTCGTCACCGATCATGATCATGAGGCAGTACCTACCTGCCTATCTGTGTATTTTTCCGGAATGTACAGTACCTCTCGTGGGCTTTGTGTGACGGATTTTGCTGACTGGTGTGTACATTCCACAACATTTCATCGGACTGAGTCTGCAGGTCACTATCGACTTTGTGGTGATGAACTTTTACAAATAGCCACACCCTCGTATGCTCTCGAAAGTCCCTTCAGCATGTGGCGAGTTGGTTCACTCAATGATGTATTCTGGCAAGAGTATTAATCTGCTAATACAATTGTAGAATTCTTTTCTGTACATGATGAGTGTGAACACGGCTACCTGAATTCGTCTGTCTCACTTTCAATCAGCCACAAGACAGCCTTTCTTCATCAGAGCACCCGTGTCTGTTTTCGAATCATCACATAGGAGAGTACGCCATCTCCGCAAGCCTCCAACAAAATACAAAACGCTCTATTCTATCTGGATTATTATTCCAATACGCATCTCTTCGGTCCAGCATGTATTATTGACCTGGCATTGTTGCAAACATGCACTATTGAACGACTCCAGTGCACATCATATCCCCTTACACAGGGATGCATGGCCAACAAGTCAGCTCGTATATGACTCAGAACTGTTGCACGAACGTCCATATTCGAGTTCCGGTATGGATCTGTGGTGGCTATGTCGCCCACCTATTGTCTCTATGCACTGGGTGGCTGTGGTGGTGGAGCATCAACAGTGCATGTACAATGTACCGTTTGAATGAGTATGATATGTACTTGCACTTGTATTATTTATCCTGTATTCGGAGGACATGCGAGCGCTAGATGTTATCATCGCTCAGGAGGACCGCTCAGGAGGACCTAAGAAATTCCGGATCGCATTTTCGCGAGAGAAGGAGAGGGGGAGAGGATGTTGATGACAAACTATACAGTACCGTCGACGAGCAAACGCACTGCTGCTGCCGTTAATACTTTGCCTCTCGGTCGGAATCAATTGTTTTGCTTGTTTCATAGCCGAGCAACTCTATGTCATCGGGAGCTGTGGCTTGGCTACTATAGAACCACCAAACGGGACGGTTAATAGGATAGCCGTGGTTCACGCACGTTGATTGGACTTAATATTTTTTATAATCTTAGGATCCCTAGTCCTGGAGAAGGAGTGTTAGGGGTTGTACCAGGAACATATAGTGATACATCTCCCTCCAGCGAACATGGTTACATCCGGCTGGTCAGTGCTCACGCCCCGCTGTGCAAGATCGAATCCATTCTTCGTCAACGTGGTACAGAGCTTGCGGTTTAAGGCGGAACTAGAGTTCCGATTCGTTCAAGTGGCTTGGACTTGCAGCGGATTTTGAAGACTTGAGCATGGGTGATATTGAACGATTTCTCAATTCATCGGTGGTTGATTAATGAGCTAGCTATGGTCTCGAAATGGGCAACTCGCTCGGTGAATCGCCTCGGATAACAAGGCCTGGTTACTCAAGAACGCCGACAGGACTGCCAGATCAGTGAATAAAGGACTTCAGATGGCTTGGGGTAGGATTGTTGGTTTGATGGCTGGTTGGAGCCAGCCGCTTGCCTCTCGCATCAAGCCATGTCTGGATATATAGTCAGAAATGCAGTGTCTGCGCCGCGAGAGATAGAAGACTTGTTTCAGCTCGACTTCGCTCTTTTCTCTCCACATGGAAAGGCGTTTTCTTTCGTGCAGTCGTCCGTGCTCAACTATCAATGATATAGCTTCATGGCACCGAGTATGAATCTGTTGAATCCGTGGGCTGGGTCGTATCGCATCTATAGTTAACTTACTAGCTACTTTGAGCTAGTAGCGGTTTAGCTTCGAGATAAAGGCTCCCGCATCCCGAACATTCTCAGGAAAATGTAGATCCGCACACACAAAGCTTCCCATTCAGAATCTGATAATCAAGATGCCATACCAAGACTACGTCGAGACTTGACTTGAGTGCTGTGGTCTTGGGGTAGAGAATCCGCTCGATGGCCTAGGTACTAGTGATTGGGCCTGCCAAGGATGAGTCAAGTTGACCCTGTCATTACATCATCCGCCGATGATCGACTTGCCCGTAGGGCTATGGAGCCATATTCACAATAAGACAATGAGACACGCCCAACCTGCACAATACATCGGAGTGAGCATATCTAAACACCTGCGCTTTCCGCTCAAAGAAGGCCGAAGGCGGATGCCTCCAAGACTTATGAGTCAGGAGAATGGCCCTTATCACCCAATTTGGCAGCACCATCACCAATGAGTCTTTACATCATATGTATATTGCTTTTTCCACAATCACAACATCGATCGCCACTATCGCCTTATCCTACACCCTCTACACAGTGATTGGCAGCGATTGACAGGACAAAGCACCCTCTGCAACGGCGATCCGAACCAAGCCGTCGCCATAGGAAGATTCGATCCTCAATCACAATCACCGCCCGGGACTGAACACGGATTCCGGGGAAAGGTTTGATAACCTGATAACAACCATCCAGCCCGCTGTGCCAATGATCACGACCAGAAAGGCAGTGTGCTTATCGCAATGATGCGCAGCGGTTGAAAATCGCGCTCGCGTGACTGGTTGACAGGGCAGGAGGAATGATTATTAAGATAAAACAAGTGAGAAAAAAAAAGTAAGGTTTTTTTAAGACTCCGTGCTGATAGTGGGTGGTGTCGTGATAAGAAGGGTCGGTGATGGAATCGCGATTGTGATGGAGGGTGGCCCGGGGGAAAGTGGGAGAAGCAGCCTGCCTATAAAGACACCATGGCGACTGGCTGCCCTTCTTGCTTCTCGAATTGAAACTAACAGTTCGTTCATCGAGATGCGAAATCTACCCGATACCCCAAGGGCAACAGGAATCACGTTCGTGAGGACGGACAGGGCTCTCTCCAGGATTTTCCTCGGCAACTGGTATGGGGTCGGAGAATGCGGAGAAAGAAAGAGGAGAGATGGATCGAAAGCACCAGTCAAATAGCCTCACTTTATCGTCGCTCTCGGAGTTCGGGCAGGAGGAGATGAATTTCAACACGTGTTTAGATGATAACAATGGGTTTCAGCCATGCCCCGGTCGATCGATAGGGCATTCCACGACGGTGATTCGATTGTCTCGCTCGCAACCCCCCTTTCTGATTGATGACTGTGAGGACAGATTGCAGGGTTGCAGGTACGACCCAAATGTTAGACGTGGTTCCTTATCGTGACAGCCGTCCTCAACGGATGTCAATCTGCAGAGTTATCAAGGCGATCGAAACCTTCGGCGACTGAGACGGCCAAAAAAACAGGTGAGCACTGCAGTACATAATCCAGGCCTATCCCAGGCTTGTGAATCTCATTTTCCTTCCTGTGTCTCTTCTTGAGTGAGCGAGTGGCTGTGTTTCAAGCTCGTCCTGACCGCCATTTGAAGTGGTGATGCCTGAATATGTTGCAGCGTTGGGGATGAACTCGATGGAGGTTTCCTGTAGGGGAAACTGAAAGGGGCAATTGCGAGCAGAAGGTGGATGCTGTTGTTGGGCACTCTTTGGCTGCATCGGCCTTTTCTTTCTTCTCTCAATGCCTTCTTGTGAGGTCGGATTGTCTATCATTGACATCCATGGGATACTTTTTGTCTTCTCTTATGCACCACCGCCTACTCCACACTTTCTCCCACACTTTTCCCCATCCAGATCCCATCCATTGCGGCTCGCCAACCCAGCCATCCACCAACCATCCGCCATCCGTCGACTATATCCTCTAACTACAGTCGACTACCGCTGCACATCCACCCCACCACCCGTCAGCCTGAATTTCTCCGAAGGTTGAGACAGGTTTTGTCGACACACTTCCCTTCTAGTCACGTTACGCCTAATCCTCCTCCCTGAGGTCACTATCCTTCTCTTTTCTACGTCTGACCCGATCGGAATGTTGTTCAAGCCGCCTACAGAGCTTCAGGTCGGGCGCTCGGAGGCCGACTTTGAACCTATCGCTTCGTATTGCAAAGCGCCCGCGACAGCCGCATCATGTACGAGTAAGTAAGTAGGTAAGCATCTGACCAATCTGACCATTCCTGCAGTCAGCGTTCAACAAACCTGGCTGCCTTCTATGGAGGTCCAAGGAGGACAAGCCATCCTCGTCCTCATGGTGTAACCGACACAGGATGACCAGATGACACTCCACCTCCATCAACCCGCCTGCCAAGCAAAGGATTCCTGGATTAGGCATTCCGCAGCAGATGGAAGGGTTGGAGAGGATGAAAGGATGCGTGAGATGGCGGATCAAGCTCAGCATCTCGGGAGCGGGTTAGTTTGGGGGAGGGGGTAAACTTATGGGGTACTCCGTACTCCGTACAACCAGCCGGTTTCCACCTTCCCTCTCCTTCCCTTCCCTTTCTCGTGCTTCCGTCCATCCAGCAGCAATGACGAAAGTCCCATAGTGTCCGACCCCCCGAAAGTGGACCTGAGCCGTCTATCACTATACATTATGGACGGATGAACTATCATCCCTCGACGCTGGGTAAAGTCTGCATTTGCCTTCTCCTGAGTCAACTACCTCCGGTCGGTGGCGTCCTCGCTTGATTGTCCGTGGTGAATGTTGCATGATGTTTTTTTCTTTTGGGGGGGGGGGGGGGGAAGGGGGGGTTTACTTTGCCTCATACACGGCAAGGGAGCTTTAACCGACAATCCCCCCTTGAAACAATCATCCATACCTGCCGAAGGTTGATCCCGATCACGTCCACCAGGCTTGAGGTATGCTATTACGACAGTGGACTTACTCGAGCAGGTTAGACCCAGGCACGCCCAATTGTCCAGTTGGTCAGTGTGTTGATCCAGGGTGCCGTCGGAAGTTGGAAAGCTGCATCCGGACGAGAAAGGGAACAGCCCTAAGCCGTGCTTGGTTGCGTGGCTGTCGTCTCAGATCCCTGCCGCCCAGGCTATACGGACTATCTTATGGTGGATGGTGGGTTGCCATTGGACGCCTCTTGGATAGTTTGACTCTGGTGGTTGACGGAGGGTTGACGGGGGATGACGGAGGTTGACGGGAGGACGGTGGTTGTTGATCTGACCCGCGATCTCGAGTCATTGATGGAACTTGAAGCTGAAGGTGGGTTGGTGGGTGGTGGGTGGATGGTGCCTCGCTCCGAGGAACCACTCGTTAGTCATCCGGAGATAAGACGAACGGACCAGTCAGCCATTCAACAAACAGTCCAAACAGTCCAAACACTCCTCTACTGCGGGTTGACCTTCGCCTCCCTTTCCTCTTCCAGCGCCGAACTCTATAATTGCCTTCAGGTTTGCCACTTCACCTTCCCACTCATGTCATTTGCGGAATGACGGATGCCTCGTGCCATGGGGCAAAATTATCCACCTGCACACACCACCACCCACTTTCTTTTAGCATGTGAGCTGATCCTCTGCCTTCTTTCTCTGCTGATGTTGTGCTGAATATTAGTGGACTGTTATGTTATGTTGCCTTTCTCCCTCCCCCACCCCCACCCTCCGCTGTTCCGTACGGTCGCTTGGTACCGTACTGTACTCTTGTATGTACTTTTGATTGATGCTGGTCGAACAGAAGCCGAGGTCACGATTACGTTGCCTAGCTCATTTACCCGGACAACGATTGGTCCCGATGACCAAGGCTAATTACACTCTTATCAGCTTATCTGCGACTCCTTATCTCTGGTCCATTATGGGTCGTTTAGCGTGGTCGACACCGATTATCAAGCACTAGCGCGGTGGACCTCGCGGTCGTTCCTCGCGTGGGGCCGGAAGGGAACAAAACGTGCTCTAGGAACTCTGTCTTTTGGAACAAACGGGGACGGTATGGCCCGTCTGGCAGTAGTCAGTAGCCAGACAGAAGTCCTGTGCTCTCTTGCCCGTCTTGTTCACTGGGACCCCGGACACCGACCGACAATGAGGGCTAGGTAACGGTCACCGTGGACGACCTGGCCAGGGCTTGGCTCTATCTATCACATCTCGTCTCCATTCTTTACAGTACGCCTAGCTCCGCCGGGCTCGCCACCGCAGGGGTTGGGATGACGGGGGTGGATGTGGCCGACTCTTGCTCCGTGCTTCTGACACCGCGATGTGCACTGTGCTTCGGAGATGCGAATGGGTCCCTTTCTCTCTCGAGAAGGATGACGATGATGTTAAGGACGATGATCACCAGCGTCATCATTAATTTGAGCCGGGATGTCCTGCACTACTCTGGACCATAGCAGTCGAGCCAAGTTGGATTGATCTGTTATCACCAGAGCTCGAACCGACTCGGGTACTCTTCTTGACGCGATCTAGTAGCTGCATATCCGCACGGGGATCTGGCCATGGAAGACTACGATGCCGACCGGGGTGCCAACTCGACTGCTGCAGACTGATGCGTCTGTCTGTCTAGGCCGCGCCTCTCTTGCCTCTAGACGCTGGGCTTGTGTTCGAAGTAAAGTTAGCAATGACCCGCCGTGCAGGGTGGATCGGCATTCATCAACACCAACCTGAATCGTGGAAATCTTCATTGATTAATATTCCAGACAGTGGGAGTGGAACAAGAGGGAGGGGTTGCGGCTGTAGGGATTACAATCATAGCGTGGGTGGCCATTTCTCCCTTCCATGCCAACAACAGCTTGTGTACAGTACTGCCGCCGGTTGTCAATGCTTGTTTTCTCCGGGTGATACGCGCTTGAAACGGGTGTGACGCGCGTGACATTACCGAGTGAGATTACCGGGTCATACACGGGCTCGGGTAAGTTAGGGACTTTGGGCAGCTCAGCCTTCTTCGGTGAAGTAGCAAAGTAGTACAGCAGTCAGTGCATGGTATGGAGTACAGTAGACTGACTATTGTCCCGGAGGACGGTCCTCCCATGATTTCCCCCTCTCTCCTCCGTATGCTTTTGCTACTTACCTGCTACTGGACAGGCACCTGCTGCCTTGAGGTTAGCTGCAGCTTTTGTGGGGGGGGATTTTTCCGAACGCACCCAACATCAAGCTTCTACTCTTCCGGTGACGGAAAGCCAGGGAGCATTGATCACCTTCTCGAACTGTGAAGAGATCCAATGCAAGAAGGTTATGTCATGATCTGGTGGCCATCGCCATAATTAGAGCGAAGCTTGGGGACTTGACGTCGACTCATCTACGACCGGTTAACTGCACTAAACCCACACACCCACCGTGCTCGGGAGGGAAGAGGACAGCAACCTTAAATTCGAGCGGTTGTCAAGGACTGGCTCCAAGCCATGTGCTTGACCGGGCGGTGGTCCGTCCTATTCGATCAAAAGAGGGTTGGGAGGGAGCTGAGTGTGTCTCGTCCGGACCAGACGGACTGCCCGAAACCAAGTGTGTCCCATGGTCCCGCCCCGCCGTGTCCAGGGACACCGACTGAGCGTTACGATGCACGGTGCGATGATTTCGTCGGGATTGCCAGTGGCTGGTAGGATGGTCCCTGCTTTTTCACTCCAGTCGCTCCTATCCCTCCCTCCTTTACTTCTCCCCGTTCGGAGACACAGACATAGGTCCGGGTTCAGACTCACCGTTCTGTTTCTCCGACGAACGGCGCCGTTTCCTTACCCGATACATCAATGACCTCCATTGCAACAATGATGATAGCTGCGTACTTCTAGTATCTTCAATTCACCGGGCGAATCCTAACTGCAGCTTCGCTACTCCAACAGCATTAAATGATGCAGTGGCTACTCCATCGGCCCAGAAAAAAGGAAGGAGGGGGGTTGGTCCGACATGCATGTAAAGCTGCATCGTCTGTCCCTGTTCGGATTTGATTCCAACAAGGTGCTGCTTAGTCTGCTACTAGCCAAGAGGGTACGTGGTTAAGGTCGCGACTACTCGGGGAGAAAGAGATAGGGGGCAGGGGAGGGCGCAAAGACGCTCAGATCCCCTGGGTCTCGCGCCGGGCATAATTATAGTGACCCTAGCTATAATAACTATTTGCGATTCGGCCGGTTATCGGCAGGGGAGGTGAAGAGCGAGGGTCATGGTATAGATCCGCTGGCTGCAGACAACAGCACCAGGTCACCGGTACCGCTTAGGGTACAAGGGAAAGTCTCCGTGAAAGATCCGATCTCGAACGACGGAAACCCCCATTCCCCCTCCCTCCCAATCCCTCTTTACCCACGCATGCTCTTATTGATTCCCATCGTATCCCCGTTTGGTGAGTGGGTGAAAGCGAGAAAAGCTGAGGAAAAGTGAAGAGGGCATTCTGTCTGCGGACCGTCCAGAAGGAAAGAAAAGGGCGGGGGGAGGGGGGGGATCGGAGCGAGTCAACAACAGGTGGGAAATCTCATCCCGAGGCTCCCGACTGAATCATCCCGCTGGGAGGACGTGTATGCATGTAGATACAATACTACACACTGCACTGTGTAGACTTATGGACTGTACATCTTAGCAGTGAAGACAAGAAACAATGGCTTGGCTTTTTCCGACCACTTTATTTTCATACTCTAGTAGTATATGTGCTAAGCAGAGTGGTTCGTATAGCCTGCCCACTCTTTGCCCCCCTCCCTCTTGCTGCGTTGGACCCAAAGTACCCTCCCCACCTCCGGTTGGTTATAGTTGCTGGGGAGGGGTTTTGCTGAGCGTGATTGGTGGGGACCGAGACGACCACAGAGAAAGGATCCGGATCGGTTTCTCATTTGGGTCTTGGGTTGGGTGTGTCTAGCTCGGAGAGTGGGGATTTTCTAGGCTTCTTAAGACTTGCCTACGTATAGGACCTTTCCCGTTTCTTCATTTCGTTTGAAGGGCGATCGTCTCTGGGATTGGCTTTGGTTGATATGAAAGAGAGAAAGGATACAGAGAGAGAGAATATATGCCTGTTACCGGAAGTCTGATGTCACTATGTATGGCCGATGTGTTCTTGAAATGTTGCAGCAGGATAGATTACGTCGAGGAAAATACCAGATTGGGGAGGAGAGGAGAGGGAGAGAGAAGGGAGGGGCGCAACACTTTGTCTCTTTTATGATTGTTGTTAGCAGACTACTCGAGTAGCAGTAATCCCCGGGAGGCGGAGACCAGTCAAAGCAGAGAAAAACAAGTGAATCTCAAATCATAACCAATTGTTTGAAGTTAATCTACCGGCGCAGCTTACTTTTTAGTGTTGCTGGGTCTTCGAGAAAGTCGTTCCCCTCCTCCATCTAAAATAACCGCTAATCCTCGGGTTGGCGGTTCTGGTAATACTGCGGTATGGACTAGAAAGACTAAACACATAGATACATGCTGTACATACTCGTACTGAATACTGTACTCGGAGGTTGTTTAGCCTCTCTCTCTCTCTCTCAACACACCCTGGCCCTGCATCGAGCTTACCTTACCTTAGTTTTCCCGGCCACGGCAGTGCTTCTTTGGATCTAAAAAAGAACCTGCCTAATGACTGCACTGCATTCGCCTAGTGTCTGCGCCTACTGCATGCTTGGATGGAGATTGCCTCCATCCTGCCTGCGGATCTAGGCCGAAAGACACGGACGCGGACTAGCATTGAGAGGAGGAGGGGCAACGGAGAGACCAAGGAGAGGGGGGAAAGAAGCGATACCCTTCAGGACAACAAGCAACAATGAATGACATCCAGAGAGAGAGCTGGAGGTTGATACCCGACATCGCAATGGATCAGACCAGCTTTGGAGTATGGATACTAACCCCTACACTAAATCACACTTGTATATAAGACATCATCCCGCAACGTCAATGGGGAGGTTTTAGCTGGGGGCTTCCTCTTTTGTTCTTTTGGATTTTCGCTGTCTTCCTCTTTTTTCCCTTCTCTCTCGTTCTCTCGTGTCTTCCGACTTCTTCACCTTCTTCGCTCCTGACCTTCGATTTCCACCTCCAGACCTCTTTTCCCATTAAATTCACCAGCGGAACGGAGACTCCATTTAAATTACCAGACCAGACGCCCGCCGCCAAGCGACAAATCAGAAACAGGCAGCCCGTTCGCTCGGTACGGGAGGTGGATTCGGTCTTGCCCCCCAATTTAACCTATTGGCGGACCACTGGGATTGTCTACTTTTGCCTAGGTTATTAAGTACAGTACTTAGGTAGGTACACCTTTTCTTTGGACGAGAAACGAAGGCTGTCTCTCCCCATTGGCAAATCATTTCAATTCTAAGCAACCGCTTGCCGTGAGTCTGAAATAATAATTAGATCTCATTGTCTCGCTTTCCATTTCCCCCTCCCCCCTTCGCCTTCCCCCAAAACCAGACACTATAATCTCCTTGATTAATGATCCTGTTGCGTTTCGATCTCCATCGTCATCAGTCATCGATTTGCCTCTTTTGTGCCGGAGCCTTCTAAGTTACTGACGGGGTTGTCAGACTGGAGACGAGACTGACATCTAACTACTACTAGTAGTCATTACATCCAGCCATTTGGTCCAGGGGTTCTCAACTTCTCTTTACTCTCTCCAATTCTTGTCGTCTTCTTTCTCTTGAATTACCCTCGTGATTCTACTTCTCTTGGCGGCCTTCCATCTCTTCTCTTCTTTTCTTTTTTTCTCTCTTCTTTGCCTCGCCCATTCCCATTGCCCTTGTCCAGGATATAGTTTTTCACCGCGTCATGTGTTGGAGGGTCTAGCCCCTCCCCTCCCGTCAGCCATCAGCATCATCAGCAAGCAGCAGCAACTACCGACAACACAAGACAACACCACGACTAGATCCTCATTCCACTACCAGTGATCTGCTGCCCATTTGACCATTTACCCATTCGACAAGGCAACCCCGGCCCTGTGTAATTGCGACCATCCGACTTTCTTTGCGGGTGGAGAAATTCAATAAGGTGGAACAACACGGGGAACTCTTTTTCTCTTTCTGTCTCTCTCACATCAGGCTTTCGCTCTTTCTCATACCAGGTATGCACGCACCATCCCATGGATTGAATCAGGAAAAGCCGGCGATAGGGCCAGGGACTTGCATCCTGCTGCGATCGAAGGCAAAGCAACGGCCGTTGATTGATTCGATTGATCTCACCATCACCATTTGGTTCTTCTTTCTTATTCTTCTCTCTTTCCACTAGAAAAAGTAGCTTCGCTTCTCCTGCACCTCCGGCTGAACTTCCGTCCTTCCCTCCTCTTCCTCTTCCTTGTCCTCGCCTATTCGGGATTGTTCATCTATTAATATTGATCCCAAGACGAAGAGAGACTGTCTGTCTTTTTTGGGACAAGAACTGAGTGGGTTTTAACCTTTTTTTTTCTTCTTCTTCTTTTCCTTTTTGCTTTCTTTTTTGACATATTAATACTGTCAACCTTCTCTCTCTCTGCACCCATCCCTACCTTACATATTGTCCTCATTTGATCCCTTCACACTTGAGAGTTTGCTGGGATCTCTTTTCCGATTATTATCCGGAGAATTGACCACCAGACGGTCTGAGAGTCCAAGACGAAGAGTTGCAGCGTGAGTTTGAGAGAGTTTGAATTGAATTGGTGGTGTTTTATTTATTTTTGATTTGTTTTTGGGGGATATTCGTTTAGGGCGGGTAGAGAGGAAATCTTTCTTTTCTTTCTTTGCGAGAGATCCATTGTTGTTTCATGGCTCGTGCTGCCAAACCAACATCCACCCGACCAATCCCCCCACTTCAAACCGTACTACTCCTAGTACTGCTGCTGTCTGTGTCTGCTATTGTTGCTGCTACTGCTGCTGCTGCTGCTGCTGCTGCTGCTCCGACTCTTTCCCGACTCTTTCCATTCCCTCCTCCTTCTCCTCCCTCCCTCCCACTCTCTTTTTGCACTTTCCGTCTTCCTCTCCGTCTCCTTCGCTCTCTCTCTTTTTCCCCGTCCCGGGTTTTGTCGTGGTGGTGTCGAGTCGGGTCTGATCGAGTCTCTCCGCACCGACAGTTACTCACTCACTCACTCACTCACTCATTCACTCCCTCATCAATATCTCACTTTCTTGTCTGTTCTTCCTTTTCTTCCACCTACTCCTCTTCTTCCTCTATTTATCCAAAAATTGGTGGTGTGTTCTCTCTTCCCCTTCCCCTTCCCTTCCAATCAATCAATTCCCTGCTGCTTGTTCTCTGTTTAGTCTGTCTTGGTGGTTTTTTTTTCTTTTTCTTTTCTTTTCTTTTTTCCCTGTTCCCCCCTCCACCACCATCACCACTACTGCAACTTCCTTCCTCTATTCTTATCGCCTTTCCCGCTTGGTCCCTTTCGCCCGTCTTTCCCGATCGCGCTTTTCTGCAGCTCTTATCTGGCCCGGGCTTCGACTCTCTCAACTCCCACTAGTTCTTTCTAGTCGCTTTCTTTTCTTTTATTATAATTCTTTATTAATCACTTGAGTCTCCGTCAGATTGCCCTGTTTCTGCCCGGTCTGCCCCTCGTGGGCCCTGCCAATAGCACTCGCCCCCTCCCCCCAAAAACCCACACCCAGATTCGGTCATGATGTCTGGGTTGAGTGGTGTGCGACCGACGCAATCCGCGGCATTTGCCTCGACCTTACATTCCGCCGACCCCGACCGCCGCTCCTCCACCACTACCACTACCTCTAACAACTATCGTTTCCCTCACCCTCCTCCCTCGTCCTCTCAACTCTCAGACGATCTCTCCTTCGATTCTCCCATCTCGCCTGCCGATTCCTCTCAGGCTCAGGACGGTTTACTTCACGACTCCCTGTTTCCCGAGTGGAAGTCCCCCCGAGAGAGTAACGACTGTCCGGATGAGATGCAAAGGAATGACCCTTTAGCGACTCAGATATGGAAGCTCTATTCTAGGACAAAAGCCCAGCTCCCCAACCAGGAGCGTATGGAGAACTTGACCTGGCGCATGATGGCAATGAGTCTGAGACGCAAGGAACGGGAACGCGTTGAGCAGTCTAGGTAGGTGGCGTCCGCATCACCGCCTCCCCCCCCACGGTCGCTCTTGCGGCAATGATCGCTCATATATTTTACCCCATGCCAGCCTGTCGACGAGACACAGCATTTCGGGTCCGAGTGGGATCGCCCAGCTACGTCTGGCCGACCGGACGCCAGTCGCCTCGCACCAACCCTCCACCACCGACCTGGCCTCGGATCCCATGAATCTCGACGATTTCATTGTTCCCTTCGAATCGCCTTCCGACCACCCCTCTCCTGTAATAACCAAGGGCGAGACCAACTCGGCCGCTATTCCCATCAAATCCACCCGAAAGGAACATCTAGTGGAGCCAGCCCCCGTGCCCGCCTCGTTTACCCACCCTCCTCAAGACCAGCGGAAGAACAGCGAATTTGGCTACGTGCCTCGTCGGGTCCGCAAGACTAGTATTGACGAGCGCCAGTTTTTCGGTCTCCAGGTTCCTACCCGCAAGCGACCAGCCGAAGCGTCCCCGCAAGTGCCACCCCTGTCGAGCGCGATGTTGGCCCACCATGACCCCGACCTGGCGGGTGCTGTGCCCGACTACACACTGGATGCGTCGTCGGCGTTTGGATTGCACCACGGCAACCACCAGCCCGCTCACCCCTCCAACCACACTTCTCCCAATGTGCCGTTTGGCTTGGATACGTTCAACCTTGGCGACGACCCGATCCTGACCTCGGCGGGTCCCTACCAGACCAATTTCACGTTTTCCCCCAGCGATTCGCCCATGACGTCAGGAAACCCGTTTGCTAATTTGTATGCTCACACACCTGTCGCATCGTCCCTGAACTCGACCGATTTTTTCTCCCCTCCGCCTTCGGGCTACCAGTCGACGGCCTCGACGCCGCAGCCGGCCTATGATGGCGAGCATAACCTGTATTTTGACATGCCGTCGATTGATGCGCGTACGCAGCGGCGGGTTCCCAACTACGTCACGCATCGCTCGTCGAACCTGTCGGCATCTTTGCAGCCACGTTACATGTACAACCAGAATCAGGACCAGTCCCACCACGCCAGCAACCCTCCCTCCTCGATGCACTCTCCTGGCTACCCTATTCCCCAGCCGCAGCACGTGGATCCGACCCAGGTTTTGGGCGACTTTGGCACGGGCGCTTCCCACGCAGCCATGTTCAGCTTTGGGGCTGATTCGGACAACGAGGATGACGATGTGAACCAATTTTCCGACCGTGCCGGGTTGGCCATGCCCAACGATCTGGCTGATGAGGCTGCGGACCTCAATGCTGGGATGCAGTGGGATGCTCAATTTCCGGGCTCATTCCACTCGCTGTCCGGTTTTGCGGCTCAGCATCGCAAGCATGTGACTATCGGGTCGGCTGACATGATGGATACCCCGAGTGAGTGGAACCAAGGCGGCAGTCTGGGCCGGACGCACGGGTCGGCCGCCTCGGTCAGCGAGGTTCGCAATCGGGAGCAGGACCCCCGCCGGCAGAAGATTGCACGCACGACCTCCACCCCGAACACTTCTCAGCTGCTACGTCAGAGCATGAACGCCAATAATACCTCTCACACGTCCCCCAACACCCCACCCGAGTCTGGTCTGAGCAGTGCCGTCCCGTCCCGTCCGGCCAGCCCCGGAGGCTCCAAGAACGGCGAGAGCAGCGGGCCGACCACCTGCACGAACTGTTTCACTCAAACGACTCCTCTGTGGCGTCGCAACCCGGAAGGGCAGCCTCTGTGTAACGCCTGTGGCTTGTTCCTGAAGTTGCATGGTGTGGTGCGGCCCCTGTCACTCAAGACGGACGTGATCAAGAAGCGCAACCGCAGCAGTGCCAATAGTCTGGCGGTCGGTGCGTCGCGGTCGTCGAAGAAGTCGGCGCGCAAGAACTCGGTGCAACAGGCGAGTGTGACCACGCCCACCTCGAGCCGGGCTCAGAGTGGTACGACCTCGTCGGAGTCCCCGCCTGCAATGCCCGGGGGTCCGCCGCCCTCCAGCCGTACTGCGGGAGTGGTGCCTATTGCGGCTGCGCCTCCGAAGTCCACTCCGACAACGTCCTCCCCTGGCCAGGCTCGCACTTCGGTTCAAGTGGCGCCTAAGCGTCAGCGTCGGCTGGAAAAGGCCACGGACGTGGACGCCATGGATGATTCCAACAAATCGAGTCTCTCCTCGGCGGGTCGTTCGAAGGTGGTGCCATTGGCACCGGCCATGCCCCCTGCTGCCGCTAACCCTGTAAACCATAGTATAGCTGGTGGACAGGGAGCGAGTCAAGAGTGGGAATGGTTGACGATGAGTCTGTGAGGGCAGCTCATCACTCGCCTCTTTTTTTTTTTTTTCTTTTTCCCTCTTACCTTAATCTCGATAATCGTCGACTTTCGATACATTGCATTGTCGACTACCCTATCAATACTCCTTCAAAACCCTTATCATGATATAGACATGATGACCCCGTCGACTCCAGTCGCAGTCGAATCCAAGCCGATTGCATATTCTCGCTAGCCGAGTGGATTCGCAGTGTGACTGTTTCTAATGAACTCTTTCTTGAAACGGCATGTGGAATTTCCCTTATCTCTTTTCGGGGGATGGCCAGAAGCAACAGAATAATGGCGTTATGCTTGTTATCGGGCGACAGGTGAAAAGATCCGGATGATGATGACCCTCCCTCTTCTCTTTTTATCTCCAAGGGCGGAATTATCAGCTTGATGATGTTGTTGTGAACTTTGTGTGTGTGATTTGTTTTATCTTGCTTGATACAATCGCGTCTGTCCCGGCTCCCAGTCTTGTTGTTCTGTTTCTCTTTCGTTTTTGATTTGGTTTTTTTTTTTTTTTTTTTTTCTTTTGAGACTTGGGACCGGGCAGAAGTGCGCATCTCATTGTTTGGTTTTTGAACTTTGTTATATGCGGATAGAGTTTCATGGATGAGTTTATGCTTTATGTTTATGTCGATGGCTTTTTTATGGTTTTGTTAGTGGACTTAGTGGAATTCGAGATTGATGATTATGGTATTTTTTGGTTGATGGTCTAGTAGATTCGTATCTGCCCGGGGTCTAGGATGGTAACAGGGGTGCAGGTACGAATAGTGGTTGGATTGTGGTTTGCAGTCTAATGTCCAGTCTAACCTCGCGACTCTCGCCCGAAGAATACTCGAGATGGTAGCCATCCATAATCTTCCATCCACACTCAGACTGAGTCTACCGCAACTCCACGACTGCCGATTCCTCTCTCCTTGGCTCTACAACTCAGTCCAAGGAGAACCCAGAAACCCATGACTGACCCATTACCTCCAATCTCACACCTTCAATCTGAAAGTCCAGTCTCCCAGTCAGTAGTGCCAAGTCACCTAGCATCAACATCGAACCATCAATCCCGTCCCGCCTCGAGGCCCATCGCACAAGCCAACCCCATCGTATGTGCCACCATCCCGACGAGTACGAGCACATGCCAGAAGGCATGGGACGACCACAGCATGAAGACTTTGCTGTGCGGGTACCATCGTTCGGGGATTTTATTCTTTGGGTCCGTCATGTTAGCCTTCTTTTCGCCTTCTTTTTTTTTTTTTTTTTTTTCATTTTGTTCTTTGCTGGTTTGTATTTGGAAGGTGGATGTGCCAGGTGAAAGTGTATAAGAACCGGGAAAACTAACCAGATACACCACCGCGCCGAGGATCAACGCCAGGCCTTCGAGGGTATACCACCCGACTCCGACGGCGAGGAGGTATCGGGCGTCGTGCAGGAGGTACAGGTGGGTGATGGGGACGAGGGCGCTCAGGCCGGTGAAGATGAGGGCGGTGACGCGGAGGGTGCGGTGGGGGTCGCTGCGAGCTGCACTTTTGACGATGCTGCTGCTGCCGATTGTGGTGCCACTGCCCCCTGCGCATTCGGTCGTGGTGGTCGTGGTCGTGGTGGTGGTCGTGGGTATGGGTGCCGACGAAGCTGCGGGATGAAGATGCAAGCCCAGCGAGGGCAGGGTGAGGAGGATGGTCTGTTCGTTCCCATGGCCATCATCATCCCCCACGACCCATTACCATTAGCATATGTTCCTTCCGCTCCCCGCATAACCCTCCCTCACTGCCGTGAGTTTATCCACCAGGCGGAAGGGAAGGAATGGGGTCACAACTCACGACAGCAAGATACACATCCCGCCACCGCCGTCCCTCCCCCTCTATCGGTCCAAACGCATAATGCAACCCCGTCACGAAGTTGCTCACCAGCAGCCCCAGGATCCCACAGTAATCGGCCTTTAGCGCGTAGGCCGAGTGCCCGTTGTTGGCGTGGTAGGCCGCCGACAGCAGCAGGCAGGCGGTCGAGCTGAGGATGTGCAGGCGCGGCAGGCGCGAGAAGACGGCCAGCGCCGGGAAGCACAGGGCCGGGAGGAGGTGCGTGTAGATGTTGAAGGTCTCGTGGTGGAGGGTCGTGTAGGTTGCGAGGTTGAGCCAGGTGGTTTGGTGGGGGAGGGTGTAGGGGGTTTCTTGGGGGGTGGGTTTTTGTGATGGGAGGGTTTTTGTGGTGGTGGTGGTGGTGGTGGTGGTAGGTTCATGGTGGCGGTGGTGGAGGTGGGACTGCATTTTTGATTCTTGGTTCGTGGGGATATCTGGATATGGATATTCTAGTGATGAGGGGGGATGTGGGTAGGAGGGTTTGGTGGTGGTTGTAGGTTGCGCAATGGTTGTTGTTGAGAATGGGGGTTGTCGGGGAGTTAGGTCGTCGAGTGGTTCCTGCTGGAGAGGGTAGGGTAGGGTAGGTGCTACTCGTGTCACCATCCGTGCTTGCCTTTTGGCGTAGTAGGCTGTTGTGGTGTTGAACGTGATGGATGGGCGTTTGTGTAAGGCAATTGATGTTTGGGTGTAATTGGAGGGATTGGGGGCATAGAAAGCAGTTTTCAAGGTTACCGTGCTGGGTCTCTCTGTGGCAGCATGAGATGCAACTATCAATCTAGGGACAGCTTTGCGAGACGCACACTTCAGATCTACTCTCAACATCCCCTGTTACACCTCAACTGTGCAATTTTGAAATGCCTACTATCCACACACCGGAGGGTGTCTATACTCCCACCGACCAATCACAAGACACAAAAGTTGGTCTCACATGACCTCACGTGACGGTATAAAAATTCCACGGCCAGTCCAAATCCAGCAAGACAACGACCACGAGCACCACTCAATCCCCAGAACACGCTGTACGGAGTCGAAATAGAAGCACCCTCTATTTACGTCCCTGCGAGTCCCTGATAAGCCGGCACGATGGGCTCCAGCTCCAAGAAAAAGAAGGAGAAGCAGAAGGATTTCCAAGTATGCCCTTCGGCCTCTTTCCCCGGGCCTCTCCCCATGCATATGCATCCATTAACGGAACCCAGAAAGCGAAACTCAAAGTCGGCAAAACCAAAGCCAAACCCGACAACTTCACCGACACGAGCTTCAAAGCGAAGAGTATACAAACCCCCTACCCTTTCTTTCCCCGGATTCCCAACCTGTAAATACAAGACACTAAACCCCAGCACAGGCATAACCCTAACCCAACAATCCCTCACCCTAAACGCCCCCACGACCACCTCGCAATTCACGCACCACGTCTCCCTACTGGGCTCGAAATCCGACGCCCAGCGGCGCGACTCCCTCGCCCACCTGACGACGCACCTCACGCACAGCCGGCCCGGCAATGCCCCGCTCCCGCAACCGGTAAGTACGCTCCTCCCGACCCTCGCCCCGCTCATCCTGGACGGCAGCACGGGCGTGCGCACCCAGCTCCTCCGGCTCCTGCGCGCCCTGCCCCCGCGCGACGTCGAGGACCACGTCGCCCAGCTCCTCCCCTTCATCCGCGCCGGCATGACCCACCTGGCCGCCGACATCCGCGTCACGGCCGTCGAGGTGCTGGCGTGGCTGGTCGAGGTCGCCGGCCGCGAGGTCGTGGGCTGCGCCGGCGGCTGGATCAAGACCCTCAACTGCTTCCTGAGCGTGCTCGGCTGGCACACCGAGGAGTCGTCCAAGTGGTCGGCCTCGCGCGCCGCGTTCGGGAAATCCGGGACCGCCGGGCGGCCCGTCGTGAAGGTGCTGGGCGTGTTGGCGGAGTTTTTGGAGGTGGGGATTGGTGCGGTGGCTGGGGAGGGTGGGGGTGGCGATGTGGTGATGGAGGAGGGTGCGGGGCGTACTGCTGGTGCTGCGGTTGGGAACTGGGAGTTCCCGCTGGCGCAGGTGGAGGCGCATATGGTGCCCCAGACGGCGCAGCCCTATGTCTATCTGAATCTGTTTGGGCAGCCCAGGGATGAGGAGGGGGAGATGTATGAGACCCGCGAGGACCGGTTCCGCGTGTTTGCGGCAAGGTTCTTGAAGGCGGTTGAGCGCGGGGTCGAGAGTGCGCGGCAGGATGGCGGCGAGGTTGGTCGGGCGTCGTCGGCGGTCAATAAGGTGCTGAAGGAGGCGTTGGGGTATGCGCGAGGAGCGGGGTTGGAGGTCTGATTGTTTTCTGCGTTTCTGATGCGATTGTTGTCCATGGGATTGGCGTCTTTTATGGAGTGCAAAAAATGGATATGCTTGGTTTTCTTTGTTGTGTGATAGACTTGTGGGTCATTATAGGAGACGTGGAGTGATGCATTGCACTGCACTGTACGGTACTGTAGCTGCAGGATTAACTACACTTTCATCTTCTCCTGTTCGTGCAACGCCTCGTCCGAGCCAGCTGACACCCCCTCCACGGGTTCCCGCGCCTCGTAGATCTCTTCCGCCATCACAGCCCTATCAATCAATGACTCGCGCGCCGGGAACCAGCACGACAGCCCCACGTACACAAGGCTCGTGGCCACAAACCCCAGCAGCCATCCGAACTGATACGGGTGGATCCCCACCCCGACCGCGATGCTGCTGTTCACAGAACTGATCAACCCCGGAAGACTCGGGACCACCCCCACCAGGAACCCGACAATCGCTCGCCAATTGACCCCCAAGGTGTACCGGTAGACCGGGTTGTGTGGCTGGTATAATGCCAGGGTGTCATACTTGCCGCGTTTCAGCACCCAGAAGTCCCACAGCATGATCGCGGCGATCGGCCCTAGGAAGATCGCATATGCCGACATGAAGTTCATGAAGTTGCCCGCCGACTCGAGGATCTTCCACGGCACGAGCGCCCAGGACAGCAGGCCGCAAATGATCTGGCCCCGCCGGAGGTTGACATGCTCCGGAAACAGAGCCATCAGGTCATTCGCCGCGGAGATGGAGTTGGCCGAGATGTTGACTCCCAAGGAAGCCAGCAGAAACGAGAATGCGGCGAAGAACCGACACGCGCGACTGGACCAGTGGCTGATCAACTCGATCGGATCCCACGGGATCGTGCCACCATAACGGGCCTGACCCGCCGAGGAAGCGGCAATGCCAATGAACGAGATGAATGTAAAGATGATCGGCAGCATGGGGACATACAGAAGCTGCCATTTCGGGGTGACGCGCGAGTATCGAGAGAAATCAGACTGCTTCTCGTTAGACCCTTTTCTCGGTTCATCCTCGGCATGAAAAGCATACCTGATTGACACTCAGGGTGGCGTAGTTCCCAAGAACCGCGGTCATGCTTGACAAGAACACCCAGCTGTACTGCGAGCCAGAGACCGTCGGCTTCTGCGCAAACATGTCCCCTCCACCTTCGGCGACAAACGCCCAGATCAGGATCGCAATCCAGGCGATCGGAACAATAATCGACTTGGCCACGAACAACCATCGCACTTTGTTCGGATGGATGCAGAGAAACGGCAGCTGGATGAGCCAGAAAATAAAATAGCTCGCCATGCCATTCGTCGTGATACCCTGATCCTCCGGGATGCCGTTCTTCAGCCTCAGGAAACTGGGCCAGATAGCACCAATCATGACCCGCACAGCATTGCCCCCATTGACGTTCTGGATAGCGAACCAGAAGAGCGCCAGGATGACTCGGGAGATGATGGCGACATACGATCCCCAGAAGCCCCAGCTGGCTCGCGCGATCACTGGAAAAGGAACATGATAGATCGCTCCCACTGCGCCATTTCCGGCAATGACAAATGACATGATGAAAAAGGATATAGCGACAATCGCGAGCGACTCCCGCCAGCTGAGTCCGACGGCGATAATGCTACTGGCAAACTGCCATGTAGCTGCATTGAAGGCGTCGGAAATCCAGTAAGCTAAACCTCGTTAACCGGAGTACACATTAGGTGAGGTAGGATAGCCCTACAGATGAAACTGAGAGGGCCCCATTTGCGGCGATGCAGGGGCACCGGGTCGAGGTCGAGGTTTGTCCACCGAGAATTGCCCTCTGCAAAAGCAGATCTCGACTGGGCCACATGAAGGTGAGGCCGAGTAAACTTCATAGCTGCCGATAATTGTCATTCGTCGTGGACTGAGATGCTGAGGAGAGGTCGTCTCGGTCAAGGGATGGGTGCACAAAAGCAATGATAGCAGACCCAACGTAAGGGATTAGACTGTCGCACACGCTGTCGCTCCCTAGTTGCTGCATGTAGCCCGGCGATCGACTATAATACCCTACAGGCTCTCATCGATGATCGATGGCCCAAGGTCAGATAAGCAAGATAAGCACCCCTGCTGGATTGATAGCTGTGGCGACCCACGATTGGATGCCACATGCGATCAGACAGTGACAGGCCGATAAGAAGGTCGGAGGGCGGAGGACTCCAGTAGGTGTCAGCTCTTTCAGAATGAATTTGAGCTGATTTAGAGCATTTTGCCGGGTGCTCGTTTAGAAATAAACTCCAGCTTTCGCCCGCTTTGAGCATCTGGATCAATCCATGGGTGGCACTCGGATGATTTGAGCTTAATGATTGGCTCTCATTGGTAGAACCATCATCAAATCTTGCATTCAATGATGCTCGATGAAGGTGGGTAAGACATTGGAGGGCGTGGTATCGAAGTAACACACGAATGTCACCATCTTTCCGCATGCGACAAAAGGAGACGAGATTGACGGTCGAGTCTTGGCGAAACAACAGGGGATTTGATGATGATATAGAAAACCATCTGTCATCCCTCCTTATCGGGTACAAGCAGTTAACACATGGCACAAGAATAGCATTGTATGGTGTAGTGTAGTTAAAGATAACGGAACGGATCTCCGAGATGAGAAAGATGAAGAGGGGGAAATGGATCGCGGGGGGTGGAAAGTACAGTACTAAGTAGAGTGTGATCAAGCGGGGTCACTCCTCCTCTTCTCTTTGCTCCTCTCTCTCTCCTTCTATTCAGTCAATCTCTTCATTGCAGCCGTACCCCATTTACCATCATCTCTACCTCTACACTGTTCACAAAATGACTTTCAGCATTTCTGAGGCTAGATCTCGCTTTCCAGCTCTGAACCAGGAACAAGTCTTCCTCGACAATGCCGGAGGCAGCCAGGCGTTGGACTCGGTCATTGAATCGTAGGTAATCTAGAAGTACTGAGGGACGAACACAGCCTCATTTGACTCTATCGCAGCATTACGACTTACCTCTCGAGCACCAACGTTCAATTAGGCGCCACCTACAAAATAGCCAAAGCGTCAACCGCCGCCTACGGCCACGGCTACGAAGCAGCAGCCAGGTTCATCAACGCAAAACCTGAGGAGGTATGAGGCTTCGACTTCAGTCTATATCTATATCAACTCTGATGAAACTCTCCTTAGATCTGCTTGGGCGTTTCGACCACGCAGCTCCTGCACAACCTATCGACCGCCCTTGACTTCCAGCCCGGGGACGAACTCATTATCTCGAAATTGAACCATGAAGCCAATTCCGCCGCTTGGGATAGAATCGCCACGCGCCTGGGACTGACAGTGAAATGGTGGTCGGCTTCCGACCGTCAGAATCCCATCTGCGACCCTGAGGAGCTGAAAGCGTTGCTCTCCAACAAGACAAGGCTCGTGGCGTTTCCACACGCCTCGAACATCACCGGCACCATCAGTGACGTCAAGCAGATCACCAGAATAGTGCATCAGTATCCCCGAGTATGAGTTTCGCGACACGATTTTTGGGTTACAATCTCACGTCTTTTAGGCCCTAGTATGCGTCGACGGTGTCGCACTCGCCCCACACCGACAAGTTGATGTCAAAGACCTTGACGTTGACTTCTACGTAAGTGCGAAGCTCTTGGGTGGTACATCAGCATATACTGACAAGGACAGGCATTTTCATGGTACAAAGTCTACGGCCCTCATATGGCCCAGCTCTACGCCGCATCGCGGATCCATGACCAGATCAGCCCTCTGTGCCACTACTTCAAGACCACCGAAACACTAGACCTGAAGCTCAATCTGGCTTCGGCAAACTACGAGTTGACCCAGAGCATTCCTCGCGTTCTGGAGTACTTTGGGTCTGACTTCACCGCAGCGTGGGATCAGATCGCTACCTTTGAGGAGAAGCTACAGAAGATTCTTTTGGACTATCTGAACGAAGAGGAACGCATCACCATATATGGAGAACCATCAGCAAGCAAGGAGCTTCGGGTTCCTGTCATCAGCTTTGTGGTGAGGGGGATCAAGAGTCAGGCTTTCGTGGAAGAGGTTGAGAAGCGATCGCCGTTTGGCTTCCGAAGTGGGCATATGTATAGTCACCGTCTGGTCAAAGATATCATTGGCTTGGACGACATTGAGGATGGCGTTGTACGGATCAGTATGCTGCACTATAACACGGGTAAGTCTCGAGCTATCACAGAGATCGAATAATCTGCTAACCTGGATTAGAGGAGGAACTCGAGTCGCTTGTGAAGGTGTTGCGAGAAGTCGTTGCCGCGATATAAGCTGCCATAGCCTGTCATCTCACATCAAAGTTCCAGTCTGGTGTTAGTCATCGTTCGATCGAAATAGACTGGAACCATCCTCTTTGAACCAAATATGTCGCTTTCCAGCCGGGGCTTTGTCTGGTTGACTGACTGATGAACCCAAGATGCGCAAACAGCAAACTCGCAATACAGACCAGACGTAGACAGCAGGTAACTCAAACTATGGTTAGCTGATTCTGACGGGGCATTGTTAGTATACGAGCCTCTAGTACTAAATATTGTTTGCGTATCCAACCCTTTCAGTTTCCGAGGATTCCACCCTCGCGAGCTTTCTAGAGGCAACACTGTTCCCGTCAATGTACGGCCAACTCAGGTTCTTGTTGGCATGAAGCGTAAGTGTGTATTACTTTACCGGATATTGATTTCCAGTCAATCGGGAAGAATGACTGATAGACATTGACAAGCTGGGATATTCTGTCTGCATGTGAGGCTATTCAACGAGCGCCAAAACTCGGATGCTGTCACTTCTCATGCGATCTCCTCTACGAGGTTTCATTCCTGTCGTCGCCCCTCATTCACACTACATGGGTGGATACAGTCCGCCGCATTCAGAGGTGTGTCTTTCATCTATGCAAACTCCAAAGTGTTTCTGACGCGCGTCATCTGGGAATTGTCATCCGATCTCAAAATAATCCCACTCGACCGGTTGTATGACAGCCGAGCACGAGGTTGGCGGACCGTAGGTCTGGCCTTTTCCGTCCTATCTAGAACCAAAGCTAAAGTCTCCACTACAGCTTGGCTGCTGCAGCCATCGTCTTTGGCTTGCCGTTGCGAACATATCTCTTTGAATTTGGTTATGATGAGATTGTTGGCTGTCCCGTACCCTCCATTCTCTCTCGGCGGTCTAATGAGACAAATGTGAAAGCAGATACCGGGCTTCAGGATCTGAGCATAGGCAAGCTCCTTGATGGAGAAGCTAGTCTTCTTTTCACCGTCGCCCGGTTCTTCGACACACCGCGAACTTTGAGATGATGCGATGTGCGCGAGGAAGTGTAGAGACGACTGGAAAAAGTCCAAGTGCCGGGTCCGGTTGAGGATCGTACTGTGGGTTTATAGATTAATTGAGTGTGGAGACAATTGTATTGGTTCTATTGTTTTGAAAGAGCTGATGCACATTTCGCTTCCAGCTGGATGACGCTTCTTTCGTGGGAATAGATACTTTCTTGCATGGTTTGCGAGCCCACAGGCGAGCAGGGAAAGGATTATAGCCACTCTAGTAGACCACGTACCTTTGCACGAAATCATCTCCAGACCAAACCTTACAGTTGCTGCGCTTTGGCCACTGCAGCCTTGTGCCTAATTTGTAGACTCAACACCATGCCACATAAGGATGCTAGTGCAGGCTTACTTGCTCTAGCCGATATTACCGTTGATCCACAGACACCGAGTCACTTTGAGCCATACTTACCCTTAACTTCACCGATCAGACCCCAACTGGGAGCATTAATAATCATGGAGTGATGGTCAATCAGTTGATTGACTTATTGGTCGTCAGTGCTGCTGCATATGAGAGATAAATAAAGAGTCCCGCGACCCCGCAGTTACATCATGCGTTTAGCATAACAAAAACATCAACATCAACATTGACAATTTCCTCACCCAGTCCAACATTCTGAACACAGCTGAAAGTCCCCCCATCCAAAGCAAAATGGCTCTCGCATACAGCGACATCCCTTCTGGAGCCAAAACCCCTCCTAAGCCTTATCAGCTTCACATCTCCGACGCGCAGATAGAAGAGCTCCTCGTGCTAGTGAAGCTGTCCAAGGTCGCCCCACCCACCTTCGAAGGCTCGCAGGAAGATCGCAAATATGGTATCACTCGAGACTGGCTCCTCGAAGCAAGACAGGCGTGGAAAAGCTTCGACTGGTAACCGTCCTATTCCCCCCCAATCTATCTATTCACGCTAATCGCCAAGGAGGGGCAAAGGCGACCTACAGAGCAGCGCATCAACAGCTTCCCGCAGTTCACTTACGAGATCGAAGACATGACCATCCACTTCGTCGGTCTCTTCTCGAAAAAAGCGGATGCGATCCCAATAGTCCTACTGCACGGCTGGCCCGGAAGCTTCCTGGAGTTCCTGCCCCTCCTGTCGCTCCTCAAGGACAAGTACTCTCCGGAGGAGCTCCCGTATCACGTCGTGGTACCGTCCCTTCCAGGCTTTACGCTGTCCTCCGGTCCCCCTCTGGACCGGGACTTCACGGGCCAGGACACGGCCAGGGTCGTCAATCAGGTGATGGTCAACCTCGGGTTCGAGGGGGGATATGTGGCACAGGGGGGTGATATTGGGTCGAGGATTGGCCGGATCATGGCGGTGGATTACGATGCTTGCAAAGGTATGTTCTCTCGGCTTTGTGTTCCCCTCGGGGTGAAGTCGAAGTACTGCTTACTGATTCGACTGAACAGCGGTTCATTGTAAGTTTCCATCAGCAGTGTAGCAGGGGAGCCGGTCACCACCCAATCTAACGCGGAAGAACAACCTCCAGTGAATGCATGCTACATGGGCAAACCCGCCCACGTGCAGGATTCGTCCATCTCCGAGTTCGAAAAACAGAACCTGGCCCGCGGGGAGTGGTTCATGACCTATGGCGCCGCCTACGGCTTCGAGCATGGCAGTCGGCCCAGCACCATCGGGAACGTCCTTTCGGCGAACCCGGTTGCTTTGCTTGCTTGGTGAGTTTGTGTCCTGCTTTCCTCTGTACAGTACACGGCTTGCTGTGGTTCTCCCCCTCCTCTCGTTCTTGCTGGAAGCTTATCGGCGAACGATTAGGGTCGGAGAAAAGTTCCTCGACTGGCCCGACGACCCCCTTCCTCTGAATGATATCCTCGAGTCGGTGTCGTTGTATTGGCTCACCGAGTCGTTCCCTCGGTGTATCTACCATTATCGCGAGGTATGTCTTCGCTTGTTCTTACAGCTCACGATTCGCCTTCCCTTTTGGGGGGCGTGGCTAGATGTGTTAGTAACACTGCGCGCAGCAAGTCCCCATGCCTAAGCTTCAGCTCGCCGAGGACCCTAGGTGGTACATCAAGAAACCGTTTGGGTTCTCTTACTTCCCCAAGGAGCTGATGCCGATCCCACGGGCCTGGATCGAAACGACTGGGAACTTGGTGTTCTGGAATACACATGAGAAGGTAGGCCCCCCCACCTCGATGGGTCACGGTGATGCCATAAGTAGTTATACAGCTGACCGTTACGGTAGGGAGGACATTTCGCCGCGCTCGAACGACCGGCGGTTCTCCTGGAGGATCTGACTGCGTTCGTGGAGAAGGTGCGGGCTGAGATCAAGTGATGCATGGGGTCGATCTAATGCTCGGTTCTGACAGAGGGATCTCTTCGCATATATGCTAACACTCACGTTGTCTTTCGTCAATTCTGTGGTAGGAGGTCTGCACATATAGTACACAAGTCTTTTGACTCTGGCCTCTCGATGCTTTACTTCATGTAGTTCCACCTTACCTCGGGAAATACTAAATGCAAACCATAGACGATATTTTTCACCGAACTTAAGCACGAAACAAAGTCCCCTCCTTCTACACTATACCTACAGTACATACTACACAGTACGCACTACACAGTACACCAACCCAAACACCACCCACTACTCCGTACACTTGTCACAAATGAACCCTCCCCCCTTCTTAATATCTACCAATCCAAAACCGAGCCCTTCCCCACACACCGCACCAACCACCCAGAAACGAAAAGCATACGCAACGGTTTCCCTCTGAGTGGCCCTGTCAAAAGGCACCACCACATCAGCCGACATTAGCTCTGCATATCACCTGCATGTTGTTCCCGAATCGGAGCTCAAGGGTTTTTTATTTGTGTGTTCCAGATGGGCGGAGGATTCGGAGGATTCCATCCATGATCGCGGATGAGGGGGTGGGTTGCTTTGTTTGTATGGCGGATTTGAGGAGGGTGGGGGTGAGGATGATTGGTGGTGCTGTGGTGTTTTGTTGGGAGGTTCAGGTCGGGGGATAAAAGTACCTGCAGTGGTTTTTGCGATGAGGGACTGGGGGTGTTTGTTTGTTTGATGCAGTGGTGTTTTGGATGGTCCGTTCGGAGGGAGCAGGGGGGGGGGGGGGGGTTGAGTTTCGGGAGGTATGTATTATGGTATGTATGTATGTGTGTGTGAGGGCTTGGTCTGGACAGGGAGTTTGTTTAAGGGTTTGCTAGTGCTTGGGAGATCTCACTTGGTTGCTTGAGGTTTCGTTGACTTGTCCGAGTAGGTGGAGTTTGTTACTTCACTTCTCGAGGCGAGATGTGTACATTACAGCGGGATGAGATATATTGTGGTTACAGCTGTGCACCGAAATTCCCAGTCTAGAATTAGACTGATGCAAGCTAGGCTGGGTTCACTTTGTGCTCTGCTAGCCTGCTCTACAGACCATGTAGCTACACGCATCTAACCAACCATAAGATGTTCTCCCGCTGCTACGATGTCGGTTGATGCTGCTCCATACCAGGTTATAATCAAGTCACCAAACCCTGTAGGGCACTGCGGGGTTTCTGTGGGATGCCTGAGATTTTGTGTATGCCTCAGGCACCAACCCCAACCCCCTGTAGGTTGTAGCCAACCGCGAGCCTTGCAGCCTTGCAGCCTGCTGCCACATGCACCTGGCAGGTTCACCGGACAGCTGGAGCTGAGGCTGGCCGGTCGGTCCAAAACATGGGCCCCGCGCGAAAAACCCCGCGCGTCACTGGGTTCTGCGCCTTGTTGCTCCACTTTCTGCCTGTGTGGTGCTTTTTATCAGTCGGAGACGGAGTCTTAGCCTCTCTGGGTTTCTTTAGTCAGGGCTGGGCCGGCCGCTTACGTAGGACAAAATCCTGCGAAAAAGTGAGAGGCCGGTCGGTCACTTGCCAATCAGGCTTTTGCTTTGCTTTGCTTTGCTTTGCTTTGCTTTGCTTGCTTGCTTGCTTGCTTGCTTGCTCCCCACTTCTTTACTGTCATCATGGATGTTCTTTGCCCCTCAGCCACTCACGCCATGACTTGGGGCCCTGTGGGTATTGAAGGTCATGGGGCTTAGGAAGTTGATCTTTGCTCTTCTATGTAAGGGTAAGAAGGCTGTACACATTTAGGTGAACGACTTGTAGTTCCATCTGCCATTTTCTTTTTGCTGAGGGCAGGACTATTCTTAGTTAGCCTTGTTTCTGTCGAGACAGAGCACGAGGCTGAAAGTCCCTTAATTCCGCTACCTCGGAACCTCGGCGAGGAGGAATGACGATGTTGATGAGGGTTGATGATGACGATGACAGCTTCATACTAATGTAACTCATCCTGTGTAAAGAGTATGGGGTAAACAGACTCAGACCCAGAACTTAGAAGATTCTAGTAATCGTCTGGCATCTTCTGAGGGCTGTTGTCCGTGCTTGACATTTGTCGAACCAAAAGTACTGTACATACCTCCATGTACATACATTGATTGCATGCTTACTTTCGTCAACTTTTTTTCTTTCGCTAGATATGCATGCAGGAATGGACAGGCTCAAGTCTAGCCCTTTGTTCTATGCGGTTTCCCTGATAATAATCGCTTTTTGCTTTTTTTTTTGCTTTGGGGGGTTCGTTCCAGTAGGATTGCATTGATTAGTACGGAGGAGGGGGAGAGACAGGAAGTGAGTTTTTAGCCCTTCCGCGGGATTCCGCCGGGAGGGTTTGGGTCTGTTGTATCACACTTGATGGGGGGTTCCTTTTGTTGGATTGTGGCTTATTGAAGATCGAGTTACATGACACTGTATAGGTATACGGCTGGAATGATGGGAGTACAGTACGGCTCAGTATGAGGATGGGTAAGAAGAGGCACGGATCCTGGTTAACGGATATCCGGATATAGATCTCATGGTCAGGGCACGTCCGATACGAAAAGCATTAATCATACAACCTCCCGCGCAGACCTGCCCGCGGGCGGAGACTTTCCGGAGTAAGTGTTGAGCCGGAAAAAAGGGGAGCTTGTTGCCTGGCTGCCTGGGATTCTGCCTGAGGGAGGAAGAGCGTTACCTAATCGGACCGACTCTGACGGACGGACGGGGTCGGAAAGACAGAGGGAGAGGGAGGGGGGCGGAGAGGTTCCACAGCCAGTTGTTCTAGTCGGGAGGTGCAACTTCTAATGCAGCAAGACATGTGGATAGTTGGATAGAAGCAGGTGTTCAGCATGGCCTACGTACTGTACCTATAGAGTACGGGCTGTGTTATGTACTGTACGTAGTTGGTGGTGACTAAGATGTGAGGGAGTATGCTCGTGGACTGATCCCCAAACAAAAGACTTTTTTTTTCCCTCCCATTTTCTTCTCCCTACCTGGTGACGCCTCCTTCGGGAAAAGGAGGATGGTAAATTTAGGGCAGAGATCTCGCCATGTTTGGGAGGAGGGTGGCATGTACGTGTCACTGCCTCACCCGTATGAGTTTTTTTTTCTTTCTCCCCCTCTGAATGGTGGCGTGGCTGGCAAATAATCCGTCCGCGTGTGGTTGGCTGACTGACCAAGTAGACCCGAAGTTTTCTGCTTTCCCATTCCCTTGGGTTATCGTCGAACGAAACCGGCCGCCCTTCCCTCTCCTCCAGGCTATTTTTTTTATGAAAGGATGGATGGAGAACTCCGAATGCACAAAATTGTACCGTGAACAAGTAACCGATGTAGCATCATAAGGAAAGTCACTTTCGGAGTCGTGATCCAACTAGGTAGCCTCGGCGGATGGGGGGCCTAGTGAACCAACTGGCTTTCGGCTGATATATCCCTGAGCAATACCGCCCGCCTGCTATGGGGTATAGACGTCAACGCGATGGGCTCGTCGCGTTTTGAATGGACAACTGTAAATTGTTCCCGGCTGTTATACAGTAGTCTGCTTAACAGAGTTCGTCGCTTAACTACTGAGTACTTGCTGATAATGCATAATAGGTAACTAACTAGTTGGTAGCCGATGTCGCTCTCAAAGAAGAGGTGCTGGTTGGCAGTGCTGCGTGGCTTTTTTTTTTCTTTCTGTTTTCTTCCCGACGGGGTAGGACAACAGTCATCGTCATAAGCACCTAGATAGATATAGTCCACTCCCTATCGGTTGAAGAGAAAGGAACTGATAGAGAACTAAACTACCGGAGTACGGGGGATGGTTGGGCGGTCCGATCATAGCACACTAGCTCAAGATAGGGTAGAGAACGAGTTAAACCATCATGGCGAACATTGCTAAGGTGGCTGTTATCATTGAACGGATGACTTGAGTTGCTTGCTCCACCAGGGCGGAGAAATGGGGGTTGGGTCGGTCGTGGATTCTTAGTCATGCCGATACCACCTCATCCATTATTTCACAAACATGGGATGGAATCCAGAAAGTGCCGGGGGGTTTGTAAAAGGTTTGTTCGACCATGGTCATCCTGCCATCCATCGAAGGAAAAGAAGGGACATCGAAGAGGGGTAAAGGGAGGTCGTCTTTTGCCTCCGCTGGATGAATAATGATGAGCAAGAGGATCAGATCATGAACTACAGGATCATCGGAGAGATTTACCAAGTACTTGGGCAGTTGCTTAGGTTATCCTCGTTGCTAGTTAAGTTAGTTAGCTAATGCCGAATGAATAAGTCATGAGTACTCAGTGTATTGAGGAGCATCAGTCACGAACAAATAAGCATCAGCAAATGACTTAGTGTAATGCCCAAATCGGGCCTTCTGGTCGTTGTGAGTCGAGAGTACTATGTAAGTAGTCCTGGACCAGGCCCAGTTATCGTGCGGGAACAGCCACAGAAGAGTCATCGCCCTCCCTCCTCCTCCACTCGATATCCGCTCCCGTCCAGTTCCCGATCCCTCTATTGCTGCTGCTGCTGCTGTTGCTGCTGCTTTTACTTTCCCCTTCTACTCCTGCCTTCCCACTCGACTCATTTACTTCGACTCTCCTCTCTTCCTCTTCCCATTTCTCTCTGCCTCTCCCCCCCTGTGCCTCTCTTCTCCTTTCCTTTCTTCTCTATTCCCTTCCCTCCTCTCCCCCACACTCTCCTCTCCCCTTTTTATTATTCCCCTTTTAGGACGAGAGCGAGAGCCAAAGTCTACTGTTGTTGTTTCTTCTGTACTGGATTTTGGTGGTCTGATTTTCTCTTGTTTTCCCCGTTGTTCTTTCTCTCCGCTCTTAAACCAAACCAAACCAAACCGCCCTGAAGAAAAGCGGTCCCTGCGTCCGCTCGACTCACACCCACCAAGTCCCGCCACTCTCGCCACTCTCGCCCGCGGTGAGTAACCACGCTTTCCATTTTTACTCGAATAGTCGGGTCTTCATTGTTTTCCCTTCTACTACGCCTCCATCTCCTTTCCCCCAGTGTGTGTGTGTGTGTGCTATTTTGCCTCCCTGCCTGATTTCAGGTTGCCATCTCAACCTGAATCATTTTTAGTCTCTGGCTAGTCTGGCAACTGGTTCGCCTCCCAAGTTAGTCACTATTGTCACTCAGTCTCTGTGTCTGTCTTGTGCTCCGCCCGCCGCCTCCCAATAGTCACCCGGACAGGAGAAAGCCTAAAGCCTTCTTCGGTTCCTTGCCTAGTGAGATCCGGAGTAAGAGTCATCATAAAAACTACACACACACACACACTCACATTTACACAACGCCTCCCGAAATAAAAAAGATTAGTTATCTTACTTGATCGTTGCTGACTCGATCCCTTGTCGCCTTCAGCCTATTTGAGCCTCACCAACAACTTCCCAACTCCTCCACCCGCGCTATTCCTCTTATCCGATAGACCGTTGACTGCCTGAACAAGCGCCGCTGCATACAGTAGCCGCCTGCTTGTTTGTGACAGTTCGCCGTTCTATCGGCCCTTGATATACTACACCCCATACCTCAAGATGTACCCTGTTGTCTCAAAATCTCTTGTTCCGATCGCCCGTGTTGCTGCTTCCTTGGTCTCAGATATCCGAATTTCTGCCAAGATCGCTTCTATCTAAAGTGCTCTTTGACATAAACGGCATCTGTCACCTGAAAGAATCACGTTGTCATCCTACGTGTCTCTTGTTGCGCAATATTCGGCTTGATATCTCCGGAAGTCTACACCCGGTGATCGGAACAGTAGACGGTGAATAACACGTTACTCACTGCCTACCTAACTCTCATCTTCTTCCCACCCAACCTCTCTCTTCACCTAGCTATTCACCCACGTCCGTGGTGGATGGTGATTGTCGCCTTCCCCTGACTCACACCTTATTCACTTTCGACTCATACCACGCTGGCGATTCTTCGCTACTAAGGGTTTGCCGTCGCCTGCTCATAAAAAGACGGCTTCTTGTCCTACGGCTACTCGTTTACGGTCTACAGCATAACGGTTACTTGACAATCCCGGTACAAATTTAAACGCACTCTTCTTGGCCATCTCCGCGGCTCCTCAGCAGTTGAGAAGTCTAGCAACAGGTTGCCAGCCTTCTGGATGACCATTTGAGGTACTTCGAATCTTTTTCTATCTGTTAAAAGTATTCAAGGTCTCTCGACTGGACATCATCCCGGATATGTCAGGGATTGACGTTTTGGGTTTGAAGGATCCAAACCCGAACTTTCAAATCAGAGCAGCCTATGCGCACCCCTACGCATCGTCGGCCTCTTCCTCCGCCTCTTCCTCGACCTCCTCGGTCTTCTCGCTGGATGGCGGGCTTGCCCACAGCTCGGTTTCCTCTGCTGCCACGCTGCCGGTGGACGTGATCTGGGAGAATGAAGGGGAATACTCGGCTGGTGGAAGGGGCCTCCCGGTGGTGGGAGCACGTGGTTGCTTAAGGGGAAACGCTCCCCGAGTTGCCGAGTCGGCCGTTGTCCCGCCCGAGTTGCGTAAGCATCCTCGGCGGACCAACAGCGCGACCCAGGCGAACGGCGCATCATGCCCGCGGCCTCCGCCCTGTCTCTTGAGACAGTCGGAGCGGAAGGTGAACTTCGTTGATAACCTTGTCGGTAAGTTGTGGAGAGATTCCTGAACACGTTGGTCAAAAAAAGTATCGGAGCTAAGAACCACCCCATGAAGATACCGCGTCGCAGATCGTCGAGGCCATTTGGCCACTATCCGCAGTGTCGCTCCGGAGTGATTCGGCGACTGGTTGCAAAGGCGTGCTGCCCCTCCGCACTTTCATCCAAGAGACACTCCGTCGCTCGCGCACTAGCTACAGCACGTTGCAGGTGGCTTTGTACTACTTGATCAAGATCAAGTCGCACGTGCCCCGCCACGATCTGACGCAAGACCAATCCCGAGGCAAGTCCGCTTGTCGGGCTATGCAATGCGGGCGGCGCATGTTCTTGGCGGCTTTGATTCTCGCCTCGAAATACCTTCAGGACCGCAACTACTCCGCTCGTGCCTGGAGCAAGATTTCCGGCTTGAATACTGCCGAGATCAACCAGAATGAGCTCATGTTCCTCGAAGCAGTTAACTGGCGACTCCACATCCCCGAGTCACTGTTCCAGCGCTGGACTGACATCGTGTTGCGCTTCACCCCGGGCGCCAGCAGCATGCCGGTCGATGATGGCCAGTGTTGGCGCACGATCATTCCCAAGCTCACCCCCGAGTTGGACGACTTAGACGTCAGCCCTGCGACTCCCTCGAGCATGGGAGCGTTCGACTCCCGTTCCGTGGCCGAATCGCCATCTCCCCGCGGCACCTCGACCCGGCGGGAGCTGCCCAGGCTTCCTACGAATGACTCGATTACTCTGCCTCCATTGGCTCTGGAGTCGATGGTCCAACGGGAGAACTCCCTGCCGTCCCTTCCACCCATGCCACAGCCTCAGATGCTGCCGACTCCCCAGATGACCCCTCAGCCGAGCATCGCCTCCACTCCTGCAGTGAGTGCTGGCGGTATTGCTGCTCACCGGCGTTACATGCAAGCTGCTATGTCGCAGGGACAAGGTATGTGCACGGCGCGGTCGGTCTACGACCAGCGCCCGCCGCTATCGCTTTGTCCTAAGCCTAGCACGTTTGATGGCTACCCTAGCCTCGTACGCCGGTCTTCCTTGGCTCGCTCGGCCTCTTCCACCTCGTCTCCGGACTCGATGGTGTCGGATGTGTCGACCCTGTCCTCACAGTCCTCGCGGTCGTCTTCCATGTCGTCGTGCTCCTCGGTTACTGGGGCCTCTGTGCCTCGTTTGGCCGTGCAGGCTACGCTCCGCTGCACTGGCAATTCTCTGAAGGAGGGCCGAAAGAATCTGGCCATCGTGTCTCCCCCGGATGAAGTCTCGCTTGGTCCGGTCTACAGTTCCCCGGAGAGCTACACAGGTCCTATCGGTCAAGTTCCGGACCTGTCCGGCTACTCGATGGAGCACCCGATCGATCTGACCTCCACGCATGAGGCGGCCCAAAGCCTGTGTGAACTGTCTGGCGCCACTTCCCGTCAGCACAAACCCACGGGCCAAGGCCGTAAGCGCGGTCGCACTGGATCGGAGGATATGCTCCTACAGAGTCATGTGCGTCAGTTGGCCAAGGCTAGTGTACTGGCCGAGCGGCCTGTGCTCCATGATGGCAGCATGGCGGATGTTCTGATGGGATCTGGACCTGGCTCCGCGCCGTCACTTACTCTGCATCAGTTGAATGCTTTGAACTACCCGGCGCCGCTGTCCGGTCCGGCCGGCATGAAACGGGCCTGCTGTGGTAGCGAAGCTAGGAAGGTTGCACTTCACCCGAGCATGCGAGCAGACTACTTGGGTTGAACTCGGTGCCTTCACTCCTTCACTTCCAGCCCCGAATTCGAGGGCAACGCTTTACAAATCAGCTATTGCTTAATCCTATTCTGATTGACTTTTCTGAGCTCGTCGAACGAGTGACTCTCTTTGTGTACTCGCAGGACAGCAGTGGAAGACGCCTTCTGGGAAGGGAAAAGTTTTGTGCGAACTTTTTTCATTCGTGCGCGTTCTTAAGGGGAAAACAAAAGTCATGGTCTTTGTAAATACCCTCCAGCTGGTTTTCCAACTCTGTGGAGTCTTGTTGCTTTTTTCTTTGTCTGGCTGCGGCTTTGCGGTCACTGATGTACGATGTACGTTGGGGAGGTCTTCGTCTGCACACTTTCCATTTCTTGTCCACATTTATTACCACCTACCTATTGACCTATCGTTATTTGTTTTTACGGGACTGGAGTGTGATGGGAAGGGCCTGGGCTTTTTTTTTTTTTTTTTTATATTTGATATTGGCTGCTTGCGGGTGCACATCATCATATCGGGAGGGGCTGCACATTTTACCTCGCACCCTGCGGAGTTGAGTCGGATACTCTTTGATAGTTAGAAGCATGAGAGTCGATTGGCTCTGACGATGACCAATACTATGTGTTATCAATCTTGAAGCCTTTGTTTAGTGGAGGGACTGATTTGCCGCCACCCAACTACTCGTAATCTACCTAGTCTACCAAGCCCAGAGTTCACTCTGGAGGGGACCGAAAGGGGCAATCAGGTGATGGTCCTCGGGGGCGCTGGTATGACTCACCGCAAGTATGATGTTGGAAATGTGGATGGACTGGTCAGGCGGGGGGTGATCCAATGTTTGGTGAGTGGCCAGTGGCCAGTGGTCAGGGGCGTTTGTTTGGGTCTGTTGCGTTGGTTCACCGGGGAGACGCTAGTCGGCGCTAGTGACTCATTGTTGCCAGCCCATTGCCCATGCCCAGTGCCCACGCCTCAGTGTCGCCTGAGGCAGAAGCATCCGGAAGGGACCGGATCAGGCAGCGAGGTCGGACGAGCCCGGAAGGTCATTCACCGGTCCACCTCACTTCTGGAGGGAGGTCACATGCTGCAAGCAGCGGATGGAGCGAAAGTGGGACGACAAGTCGGGTCTAGCGGGATCAGATAAGATCAGATGGTCCATGGCCCAAGGCCCAAGCCCATTCTTCCCCTCATCTGGCGTCACCTCGGTTGTTGTTCATCAACAACCACCCTCCACGACTTGTCTCTTAACAAGCGCTCTCTCTTCACAAGCAAGCTCTCCCCCCTCCCTCTCTCTTTGCTTGCACAGAGTGCAGCTTAGCAGCAGCAGCAGCAGCAGCAGCAGTGCTGAGCACCTCCGCGAAGATGGCCCCGACCGCCATAACCCTCTATTCCACCCTCGCCCTCCTCTGCACCACTTTGTGGCATATCGGCAGCGCCTCACCGGTCTTCGACCCTGTGTCCTCGACGCAACACCTCCTCCAGCCCGAGTATGAGCCCGAGCATGAGCATCAGGACCCGGCGCCCTACCACATCCACTCCTCGCCCTCCCCGGACTCCCCCTTCCTCTCGCCATCCCACCCCGCCTCCGACGACGACGACGACGAGGAAGAAATCTCGAAAGCCCCCAGCTGGTTCGAATCCACCCTCCTCGCACGGCGCCTCCTCGCCCTCTCCCCGACCGGCACGGCCTCCACCATCTTCCCGTCCCCGCTCCCCAAAGACTCCCGCGCGTACGCCCACATCCCCGACAACGTGGCCGGCCACTCCATCAGCCTGATCGAGTACCTCTCCGACTGCGAGCACGCCCTGTCCCCGGAAGGGCCAGAGCGCGAAGGGGGCGGGCACGGCAACCCGATCTTCCTGGCCCTCCACATCGCCACGACCTTCCGCAACACCGCGCACGGCTCGAACCTCTCGCTGTCCCTGTCGTGGTGGGACCACGTCAACCGCACCGAGCCCGTGTTTCCGGGCTTCCCGCTGAGTCCGGCCGGCTTGCCCCGCGTCACGCTTTTGGGGTATGTCGAGGGGATTGATTTCGCGGAGTATACTACTTCCGGGGCGGAGAAGGAGGCGGAGGAGGTGGAGGCGCGACTGACGGAGTGCTATCTGCGGGCGCATCCCGATGCGAAGGCGTGGTTGCCGCACCGGAAGGGGGCCCCGCATCAGAGCTTCTGGGCCCGGTTGGTGGTCGAGCAGGTGTATTGGGTGGGCGGGTTTGGCGGGTTGCAGCAGATCGGGTGGGCGAATTTGTCGGAGTGGAGGGGCGTTGGGCGGTGGGGGTCGGCGGGGGATTTGGGGGATGGGAGTGGCAGGGGGGGGGAGGGGGTGCGGTTGCCTGGGGAGGATGAGTAGGGGGGTTTTTTTTTTTTTATTTTTTTAGAGGGGCTTAGGGGGGGTTAGGGGTGGTTGTACTGATGGAGGGGGTGATTATTGTTATGGTGAGAGGTTCTATCGTTACGGCTTATTTCTAACGTTATGGTGGGATTTGCGGCATTCTTACTATCGTTTCCTCAGAGTACTCACAACTAGACATGCATACGCTCAAGAAGACTGGACAGGACAGACTTCATATGAAACCACCACACCTCTCCATGTACAGTACCAAGTAAAACCACCGGGTATATCCTTCCTTCCTTCCTACCTACCTATACACCATACACTCCGATCAACTCTCACTACCTATCACGGGTATCACAAATCATCTCGCCTTACTCACCTCCTCACACCAACCCCCGCTCCACCCCCGATCCCCGCTCCACCGCCAGAACCATGCCCATGCACCACACAAAGCAAATACTTCCGATCCGGCACCACCACAATCTCATGCTTCTTCGTCCGCAACCGCAACAGCTTCACCTCATCCCCTTCTCCGTCCTCCTCGTCGCGCTCCCCTTCCCCTTCCCCTGCCCCTTGCCCTTGTCCTTGCCCGTACCCGTGCCCAGATTCCCGGTTCCGGTTCCCGGCCTCATACCCCGACCCCGATCCCGACACCCCATTCACAGCCCCATATCCATGCTGCTGCCTACCAGCAGAAGCAGCAGTAGCAGACCCGTCAGAAGAGCTGGTCGGATCAGCCAACACGGCACTCAACTCCGCCGCGCTCGTCACATAGGCGAAGATATGCGCGGCGAGGGTCTCGGCCGGCGAGGGGGTGTATTTCTCTTGCTCTTGCGGTTGCTCTTGCTTCTGCTCTTGCGGTTGCTCTGGATGTGCTGCTGCTGTTTCCTTGGTTCGAATTGGGAGTGTAGTTAATGGTGGTGTTTGCGAGGTGGTGGGGTCGGGATTGGCGATCGGGGAGGAGGGGGATGGGTCTGTGTTCGTTGGGGGTTCGTCTTGTTGGTCGAGGGCTGCTTCGCCTTCGCCTTCGTCTCCCTCTTCGGTAGCTGGGACAGCGGCGGCGGCGGGGGTGGTTTCCGTGGCGTCAGGGGTCGTCGGGTCGGTGGGCTGTTCTTCTTCTTGGTGTTGGGGTTGGTCCGGGTGCGGGGTTGTAGGACCACCAGGAACGGGGACGGGGACGGGGACGGGGACAGTGTTCGGGGTTGGGGTTGGGAGAATAGCTGGGGCTGTGGCCGGCGACGGCGATGAGGCTGGGTTGGGGAGCAGTGTAGCTGTAGCTGTAGTGGTAGGTCTGCTGCTTGGGCGACGGGTCGTCGGCGAAAAGGCGTATAGCCCCGTGCTCTGAATAATGGAGCCGTCTTTGCGGGAGAGGATAAAGGTGGACTGCACGCCGGGGCGCGAGGTGAGATGCGAGAGGAGGGCGGTGACGTGATGGGGGATTTGAGGAGACTGCATCAATGAGTTCAGTTAGAGTCTTCGCACTGTTAAAAGCCCGAACACAGAAGACGGAGACGTACGGTTGAGGTGGTCGCCATAATTTCTGGTTGGCCGCGGAGCCGGCGCTGTGCTGGTTGAGATGGTAGAGGAGGGTAGTGTTAAGTGGAGTAGTTTGGCTAGGGATGCAACATGTCTTGCCTGAGCAAGAAACTGTCTGGTAAGCAGAAATGCGTAGAAGCTTTGCGGAGGGGTCAAGCTGCAGTGGTTCAGCTGTGAGCTGTGAGCTGAGCTGAGCTGTTTGCTGATTGCTGTTTATGGCGGTGTTGTTTTGCTGGTCCCGTCTACATGCTGACTCATCAGGGGCCTCAAGTGCACTACACTGCATAGAAATATCCCCTCTAGACCTAAATGTGCAACAAATTCCAATGCATGCCGATCCATAAACTATCTTCAATGCTGCTCATAATACACAGGCCCAAAACTAAAGAAACAAAGTGGTATCGTGGAATCCAAAGGACAAAACACAAAGGAAATCAAGGAATGACGCGGCGCAGCCAAGCTGTACAAGATTGACTCAAGTCGATGATAATACTCACAAGAAAGAATAATTAGAATAGAGCACCCAATAAGTGCACATCACACACCATGTACCATCCTGGCATCTCCTCCCTGCACTAAGCCTCCGACTTCTCCGACATCCAGTCCAAGTCAAAGTCCTCGATCATGTCCTCGAGTTCCTGCACATGGGCACTATCATCCGTCCCATAGCTACCCCTCCGACTAGACCCTGGACTAGCAATCCAGCTCTCAGGCCGGAAAGGCGGTTTCTTGCTTCTCCTCGAGTACGACTTCCGTGCACGTGTCGACACTGAAGTACTGGTTTCTGACGAGAAAGATCTCCCCGTGCCTGGAGTTGCGGTCGCCGGGGGCGTGGTCAACCCCCCAAGCACACTCTCCAGACTTTGCTTGGTGCCAACATCTAGCGCCGCCAAAAGAGCAGCCTGTAGGATCTTATTTTGTCGCTCGAGGTGCGTGATGCGCTCCTCGAGAGCCTCAATTATCTGGGACGACTGTCTGGCATCTCGTGAGTCCTGCGACTGGTTGCTCCTTCGGGAGTAGTAGGACTCCGGTGAGTGGCCCTCAAAGCCATGCAGTCGATAGTCTCTGGGGGTCAGTGGAACCTTATGTCCTGATAACGACCCCTTGGCAGAGCGAGGTCTGTTTGTCGCCTGCTCCCTAAAAGCCAAGGGGGTCGGTCTGGAACGACGTCGCCGCCCAGCAGCTGGGCGAGTCCGCCTACTTGCGCCGGTGCAATCGTCATCAGACGATGGCAGCGGCGATTCAGAGCGAACCTTGAGACTCTTCTCTTTGGCCAGCCTCTCTTGAGTGCTTGAGCTACCCACGCTGCCGCTTCGCTGTACCCCAATTGTCTTATTGAGCTTTGACTGTAGCTCGGGATCTTCGGAGAAGCCCTGGTCCCACTTGTTCGAAGAGGCCGAGAACTGTCGACCAGTCTGACCCGTGGAATGTCTCGCGGGGTTCATCGGTGGGGGTGAGCGCGGTGGTGGCGATGGGGGCTCCGAAGCCACTATTCGCTGATACCGTTTGTTGCAATCCGGCTGGTGCTCGATGCTATTGCGAGCGTCCGAGATATCTTCATCATTTCGCGAGGTCTTATGCTCCGGGGTCAATGCGCCGGCCGGCTGTTCCTCCTCGTTCCCTTCTTCAGGAGGTTCCAGGCCCTTAAGATAGAGACGGCCTGTAGTCACATCGCGCTTCTTCAAAACCATGACTCGCTCCGCACGGTTTGGGCCTGTTCGCACCAGAGTATTGGGCCCAGGCGCATCTGGTGCAACTCCCGCTGGTCCGCCATTGTTGTCATCATTTGTCTCAACATCATTCTGAGCAATTGGCCTTTTGCCGCCTAGCATCAATCTTGTCGATGATGCGGGCCGGGCGGACGTTGTCCGTTCATGGACAGTAACAGCAGGACCCAATTCGGGTAATGATGGCAGAGGTCTCATGGGTGCTGGAAGGGGAAATGCATCGATGGCGCACATAGGCAAGGAGGAAGGCCGCCGGCAGCTTTTCTTCGGCGGCTCGCTCTTCGAGCTGTCCGTGCCTTTTTTTGCTTGCAGATCCCCTGGTTTCGGATTATCGGGAGTGGTGCTAGGCTGTTGCTCTGTGGTCATAGAATCCCCTTCTACTTTAGTGCTTTCACTCCCGGGCTCAGCCATAGCACGATGGGCAGGCGCAAGAGGATGGGCTCCGCCGGGCGCTGCTTGACGGCCAGCTGATATGCGCCACGCTCCCTTACTAGATACTCGCGGGGGCAGCGTATCGGGAAACAATTTCAATGTTGGAGGAGGCTGGGTTTGAGTGTTCTGTGCACCAGCTGACACTGGTTCGGATGCCAAAGCCTTGGATTCTGTGCTAGATCGACGGGAATCTGCACTTTGGCCCTTCGTGGGTTGGGACTATTGCAAGTTAGCTATGTCCTTTTTTCAAGACCTGCTGCATCTCACGCAGCTGATCGGGGCAACGTTATTCTTACAAGTGCATCTATACCCGGTCCACTGGCCGAAGTATCCCCTTCTTCTATACATTTCATGCGGCGAGTGGTCTGGTCCGATGACGGATGTAGTGAGCTAGTCCGATTCTCATTTGGCCCCGAGGCACTCTGCTCAGAAATCTCGACTGGCCGATAAGGGGGTGGGTCGACATCGTCAGGCTGCGTAGGGCATGCGACTGCCGCTTCCACCATTGAGGTCAATTCCCGGAGATCAAGCGAACAAGGGTGGCTGGCTTGGTTATCAGGCCTGTCTTTCTTTTCCAGTGGGTCACTCAGCCAGGGCTGTCCAATGCTTTCGACGTCTCTGCGGGAACTGGACTTGAAACTGAGATTCGAGATCGACCTGGATGAAGAACGGCTCGAGTCTAAACTTTTCTTATGGGATGATCGCTTGGGTGCAAGCTTGGGTGATAGGGCGACATGTGACGGTAGAAATCCCCCCTCCTGGAGCGCCATCAGCTGACGAGCAGTCTCTTCAGCTTTGGATCTGGGGTCGAGGTTCTTCCGTGGGCGCTGAGCAAGTTGTCGGAGACGTCTTTGACCGGCTCGGAATATATCGCGAGCCCCCGTCGACTGCGGGGCCCCGCTTGGTGTCTCGATATACTTCAGGAAGTCGGTCATTTGATCACTCTTCGAATCAGATATGATCAAAGCCGGGCCCTCTGCCTGAAACTCTTGTGAGAGGGGAGACATGGTGCAGCGCCCCGTGCGGGATGTGCTGGAACTCGATCGGCAGGTTGGGACAATCGGGCTCGGTGCAACTAAGCTGTCATATGACTTGGTCCTCCGTTGCATGGGAGCCGCAGCTATCTACCAGCTGCTCGAATGGCCACGGGATCTTGCACAAGAACCAGGCAAGGTCAGCATTGAGTATGGCAGAGCGACGAGACCAATGAGCGTGACAAGCAATCAACAAAAAGATCAATTGAGTCAGGAAATCTGACGCAGGGCAGCGGCTCGGTATCTAGGCAGGTGTGATGCACTGACAAAGCTAGTTGACTGGGTAATGAGCGTGTGGGACGAAGGAATGAAACAAAAGGATAGAATGCAGCTGGGATGTGTGCACGGGATTTGTATATACAGCCGACCGTGACCCAACTGTTGCCCACCCCGTCGCCGCACGAAGTGTTCACCCAGAATAGAAAAAAAAAAAAAAAAAGAGAAAGAGAGAGAGTGAACAGACCAGACAGCCCAAGGGACGAGGTATCTCGAATTTATGAAGACCTCAAGGGAACTCGAGGAGCTGTCAGGCCCTTGCTGCACTAGAGCCCGGGGGGGGATCTTTCCCAGGATCTGTAGGCCAATGCAGAATTGTGATGAATCGTCGAATGAGAAGCTTGCCCTCGTTCTCGATAGCTTGCAAGATAGAGTTGGTACTAGACAGTCGCGATTCGACGAGCCCAGGGTGGCCAGCCAGGCACCCCAAGGGCATTGGGGGAGGTAGCGGGAGGGGGAAGAGAACACGCAAGGCCGATGTGGAGTCATCATTAATTGGAAGGGGCAGAAAAAAAGCCAGAGGAGTAAAAGGACAACAAGAGTCAAGATTTCAAGCTAGAAGCAAAAAAAAGTAAAAATAGCTCCAAGCGAGAGCGATCGAGTCCGTGCCGGACAACTATTTGCTGGGCTGGATAGACCCTGTCATCATCGTCAACAGGATGGCGCATCTTCCTTTTTTTTTTCTTGTCCTTTCTTATGCAGACCTGCGTCAGACAAATCGACGAAGGAGGGCCAGTCAAACTTCGAACGGCGATTATCGATGATCCTAGGGCGTGATCACCAGCCCTTTGGTTCTGTGATGGTCTCGTGTGACTTCATGATTGCAGCTTCGGTCTTTGCTGTCTCCCTTCGAACGAGATACTAGAGGAACCGTTAGATATCACGCAAGGGATACCACGGGATGGCCGGGATGGCAGCACCGTTCGTTTCATTTCGTTTCTTTTTTGTTATTGTTTTCTTTTTCTCTATCTCAGGGAGGGGTTCAATTGGGTTCCCATTAGCGAATGAAAAGCATGGAGTTGATACCCAACAATCGAGGGATAAGTGGATGAACAGTACTGTACCTATCGGCAGACATACTGACTGACTGTCCATGCAGCAGTGGATGAGTAGTTGAGTACTCCGTAGTGGGGAGAGCAATGGCTGGGAAGTGAGGTGTCAGCCTCGTAACAATCCCATCGGCGATTGTTACAGTAACTCAAAGGAAGAAAGAACCTAAAGTAGAGTAGTGGCCGATCGGAGTGGATGCAGTGGATGACTGACTGACTGGTGTTCAATGTGACAGATGCACAGACGGAAGGAAGGAACCTCTCGGGATCGATGACAGGTCATATTCTACTCCATACCCATTTGGTTTCTCTCAATGCGCATCATCATCATCAAGACTCTCTTTCTTTCTCTGGCCACTGTACAGTACAGAGTAACTTACTCCTCCTCCCCTGTTCAACCAACTCTCTTTCCAAACTGTTGCTACACTGGTGGTAGCACAGAGAGGATCAGCCCTTACCCAACCCAACCCTATCAAAACGGGTTCATGCAGCACCAAGGGAAAGGATTCCCATGAAAAGAAGCCTCAATAGTCCAGCAGCAAAGAAAATGAGTGGCAATCGACCGTACAGAGTGGGCATTATCGAACGCTACGAGGGTCTAGGTATGTACTGTACTGTAGGCGTGTGTGTGGAAGCAAACAAGCATCAATCCTCTCTCTCTCCACATTGACACAGCAACCATAACACCATAAATTAGACAAATCATACGAGGTTATCATCAACCCACACAGAACGAGTAATGAACAGATGAGACTGCATAGGAGTGGTCCGTCAATGGGGCCCAAAACCGGTGTTGAATTTCATGTGTCTGATGAAGCACATCTCATTGTTCTTGATGTTCTGCTTATTACCTTCCCCCTCTAATCCCGATAAACCAATATCTGAAGAAAGGAAAATAGTATCATCATCGAGAAACTCAATCGACGGCTAGAGACAGAAAAAAAAAGAGAAGGAAAAATAACCAGAGAAATCCCAATTTAGCGCCACGGACTCCCTTGCAGCCGATAGTTCATGCACCTCCTTTTTTCTTCACCCTCTCCCCCTTCCTATGGTAACTTATTGCTCTCGCACTCACTCACTTGCGTTACGGAGTACAGCAGTCTATGCAACCCATTTCCTTCCCCCTCCCCAGAAGTCCAATTAGCAATTATTCTCCGAATGCGAACTCCTCCCTCCCCTCTGCGCTTCTGAGACAGCACTAGCATGTCATCTTCAACTGTCAGAGTATCTAGTCGACAATTGATGACGATAATGTTTCCAGTTGAAACTTGAACATGGTCGGTTTGAAATGGAATAATACCAGGATAAGGAATGGACCAGGTTCATTACGTCAAGAGAAGATGAACCCGTGGTTCTTGCACTGCTCGATCGAGGATCCGTGCGGTGTCATCAGAGAAAGGGGAGGAGATAGGTGGTTCATTCATCCTTTCCGATCGATTCTAAAGGCAACTGAATCCAGTCGCATTGGAACAAAGGCATAGTAAATGAGCCGGTCCGAATCACCATTATCGTCGCCACCACAACTAGATGAGACAATCTATGTGTCTCACTGGGGGTTCAGAACCCGTAGGAACCCAAGCACTGCAGTGGCACATGCACATGGAAATAGAGCTCGGAAACGTCAGGTCTTATCCTCAACCAGAAAAGACCTCGAGAGGTCCACAGCTTGATCTTCGTCCCTTCATGACGAGTGCATGTCGCCCAGATTGAGTCTTGGGTTTAGACACTTGTCGAGCATGTATCTATCACTGGCTACACCAACTTATTACCCTACCCTTTACCCAAGGAGCCCTGGCGAGCAATTATTCTACCTGATCTAGACGAAAAAATCGGCCTGATGATGCAACTCAACCAGTCGACTACTCACACCCCCATGCCCTTTGCCCCTGACTCAATGGGGACGGACCTCAGACGATAGTATTTTCCTCGATCCTCTCACTGCCAATGATGCCTGTTCCAATAAAACAACGAGAACCACGTCACAGAAGAATGCTGACACAACGCCGCTGATGCTTGAGGCGCAAGGGAAGAATTCGAGAACACCGTGTTATGACAAGCCTCGTGCCGTCAGCACTCCCAACGGCACAGAGTGAATAGTGGAGAATGTCACACCCGCGTAAATGGGCCCAAATGTGGCTCGTCAAGTCACAGAATACATTAGAGAAGCAAAGAGGGCACTGATCAAAATCATCGACAGTGCATCCTGCATGCAGATATGCATTGTCATATGCCATACAAGCGATCGTCCAGCACTTCAATAGTGCTTTATGACATGTATGAAAAGAGAAAACGACGGGACCACCAACGGACCGAGAATCTGGGGATCGAAATCGAATGCTATCAGAGAGATGATCATCTTCGCTTCGGTCTTATAAACGGATCGGCTTCCTTCTTCCTGCGCATCATGGGGGGTCTGGAGTTGTTGCCAGGTCTTGGCTGCGGAGGGCGTGGGGCAGGCTACAGGAAGCAGATTAGCCAGTGATGGAAGCAAATTGCATGGAGTGATACATACACCTGCAGAACCTTGGCCCGGCCGGGGTCCATGGTGGGACTGTCCATAATTCGAGTTATACGCAGGTCCGTCGCGAGACGGCTTTACCAAGTCCTGTGGTTCACAATTAGTCACGGTCTAGATCTTGATACAAGAGAGAAGACCATCTACCTCTGTCTTAGGAGGAATGTTTGCATCAATCTTGCGTCGAGGACCCTTGGGAGCATTCACGAATGCTGAATTCGGACCATCCTTCCGCGGTCGTGATGAGTTGGAAGCATCCAGTACAGGTGAATCGGAGCGTTTTCGTTTGCCTGGAAGATCGCGGTTCTCAACCTTGATCTGCTCAGAGTCTTTCCGGTCTTGCGGCGAAGGCCCATTGGTCGCTTGGACCATAGGCACCTTCGGATCGTGCCCGCCAAGTTGCCTACGTCGCTGTTGCTCGGTCCGTTGCCTTTGCCGCTGAGAAAGATGGAATTCTTCCCGATTAATCCTTGCTTTCTCCTGTCTCGATAAGCTCGTGCCAGCACGGCATTTATCTGCGACATGTCCAGTCTGCCCACATTCCACACAACGCTGTTCTTTACAATTGACACGCGTGTGGCCTGTCGCACCACACCTAAGGCAGGTGCCCCTGGTTGCCTCCTTCGCGTCGTCATTGTCACAATTGTGCGTCATGTGATCGAAGCTTCCACAGATCCCACACGTGCGTGTTACGTCCAGTCCATTACCACCCCCGGATGGACCTTCGGGGAGGGGAGGCGGCGGTGTGCCTTTCCCGGATGCTGATGCAGGGAAGGGCGATTCCGACTTCTCGCGAGAAACCGAGGAAGGCCGAGAGATGGAGCCAACCGATGTTGCTCTTGAGAGAGGCGCAGATTCTGGTGCTTCTAAGTCCAGCATTTCAACATTCTTATACCCGGTGAACTGCGGTCGCTGGAGTATTGACAGAACATCGCCGTCTGTGTACACGTTTCTTCTGCGGGCGTCCTTGATTAAGCCATTCCAGAACTCGCCCTGGACCAAGGACTGTGAGTTACCAAGCACCCAGAGTGACGATTTAGCACGCGTCAGACCGACATTCATACGACGAATATCAGCCAAGAAACCAATGCCTTTATTGGAGGCTCGGACACAAGAGAATATGATCACCTCGCTTTCCCTACCCTGGAAAGCATCCGTGGTGTTGAAGTCGATCCTGCTGAGAATAGATTCTCCGTATCTGGCAGAGAACTGCGTCTTGAGCTGGCGTAATTGACCTTTGTAGGGTGTAATGATGCCAATCTTGCCGTCGAAGTTATAGCCCTTGAAGTCTGCCAACAAACGCTCATAGAGCTGCATCGCTACACGAAGTTCCGCCAAGTTGATCAGAGAGTGACCTTTGGCAGCGCTCTGGTGAAGTCCTTGCACGTCGAAGAATCTATAAGGGCTCAGAAGTTCGCTCTGATGCCAGGGGCGAGCGCGAAGGCGAGCCATGTTGGGGCCATCTTGCAGCTTGCCATCATAAAATGCAGAGCTAGGGTATGCACTGATCTCGGGATGCATACGGTACTGAATATCAAGTAAATGCACATCCCTAGGGTTATTGGCCTGCATTCTGACGAACAGACTCTGCTCATACTGGAACTTGGAAGCGACCTTTGAAAGAACTGTAGGTGGCAGCTGCTTCGGATCACCAACAAGAATACACTTGGAACACCCATACTTCAAGGGAATGAGAGCGCTCAGCTCAATCGACTGTGCTGCTTCATCGATGACAACCGTCTCAAATTCAATGCTCAAATTCTGGAACATCTCGTGTCCACTTCCGCTGAGCGTCGCACAGATGACGTGAGCACCGTCAATGATTTCTTGCTGGATGCGTCTTCTGTTCAAATCAGCATCACGCGCCGCTGAATGGTTTTTGTCTCTTGCGTTGTCAATTTCCTGACTCAATTGGGTCTTTTTCTTCTTGTAGAGTTCACTTTCTCTTTCCAACTCTTCGGGCACAGGCAAGCCTTGAGCTCTGCATTGGTCAATCTTGGCACGTGTCTCCTTGAAGGCCGTATCGGCAGCCTTGTGTTCCATGTAGATCTTCTGCAGGTCTCTTTCGCCCGGGTCTTTGTTACTTGTCTGGCTTAGTCTCCCGTTGACGAGCTCATCTAAAGTGACGTCCAGCACATTGGCATTTATGGCATCACTTCTTCCAAGACGAATGACGGACAATTTCTCTTGACGACCATCTATGGTCTTTACGCCATCCTTGAATCTCATGACCAATTCATCCACGGCAGCGTTACTGGGAGCACAGACAAGCAACTTCTTCGAAGTTGTGGTTCTCCCACCAGGTCTAGCATTACTCGAAGCCAAGGGGCGTGAGATTGCTACTCCTTGATTGCCAAGGGAGCCACTCAGAAGAGCACCTACGAGGGCCACAATAGTCTTCGTCTTTCCAGAACCGGGGGGTCCTTGAATGAGTGTGAAAGCGTCATTGTCCAGAGCCGACTTAATTGCTTTGGCCTGGGCAGGATTGACGTTGTAGTTTTCAGCGATAGGTTTAAGACTCGCATCTGAATAGTTGAGGATAGGTGACGGCTTCGCTTTGATAATCTCCTCGCACAGGTCATAGTATTGAAGAGCCTTGAGAGCACCATACTCGCGCTCGAGTGGAGTCATTGAAGTGATCTTTGCACCCCATATTGAAGTACCAGGGCCCAGGGAGTTGATGAAAGGATTACCTGGATTGACCCGGTACGAGATCTCGACGGTACCCTTCTTCCTCTTGATTCCAGAGACTCTAGCGAGACAATGAGGCGCAGACGAGTCCGCTGTCGGCGACCTGGCCTTAGAGAGCAAGACGATGTCTGCTTCTCCTATGCCAAAGTCTTTAGCCTCGAGAGCTGACACGGCAGTGTTCACTTCCACAAAGGAGTCCACAGACAGTCTAGTGGCCACCTTGATCTCAAACGGCTTAAATGAACCTTCTTCCTTCGACGATTGGAATCCCTGCCAGGCTTCCAGTATGAGGAGGGGTTCGAAGGTTCTCTGGTATTCGATGGGGTCTCTGAAAGCATTGGACACCAGACTGTAATCTGTCCGTCCGGAATTTGGAGGAAGATCACCATTAGCGAAGAAATCCCAACCAAGGATTGTGCGATGCAGCGAGGATAAATCAGGCGCCAGTCGTGCTCTCATGTCTTTAGCGGACCGAACTTGCTTGATCTTCTTCACGGGTCCTTGTTGTTTCAAGGACATCCGCTTGCTCTCCTCATAAGCTTTGACGGCGTCGGGCTTTGAGCGCGACTTGGCGCCGAATAGTTCCTTGTCAAGCTCATCTTCGCTTTCAGACTCAGACTCTGATCCCGAGGAAACCATCATACTATCAGCGGGGACGTTGTGATCTTTGCCCTTGACCCCAAGTCCTAGCAAGCCGGAGCCCTGTTCAGCGGTCTGCTCAGCAACGCCGATTGCTGGCTGACTCCTCTTCAATCGTGCCAGCTCCGCTAGGTCACGTTTCTTCTTCGCCTCCCGCTCCCTTTCACGCTTCTCGCGGAAAGCTTGAATGGACACGTTTGGCTTTAGAGGAGCCGGAGCAGGCTTAGGAATGGCAGGCAAAGCCTTCGCCGCTCTCTCTGCCTTCTTTTTGGCTTCGATGGCAAGCCTCTCTTTGTTTAATTCGACAGATCGCGACATTTGTAATAGGACATCGTCAGGAATGTTATCATCAAATTCATCAGCTGATTTTGGAGGGCTGGGAGTGGCCGTCGGGTCAACGGGTTTGGCGAAGGAGGTGATCATGCTCTGCTTCTTGAGGCTGGCTGTTGATGCGGTGACAATGGGTTTCTTGTAATAAGCTTCTAGGGCCTGTACAAGCTCCGCTTTCTCCCGCAAGGTCAATATTGTCTTGACGGTATAGTTCACCGCGACGCCCTCAATGAAGCTCAATGCATCTTGCTTAACAGTCGTGACGCTGAGCTCCCCTAAACGTCGCAGAATCTTCGACACAAGTCCAACTAAAGTTGTCGCCAAGTACTCGTCCTTCAAGCGAAGCCATTTGACCATCGCGCTCATGGTTGTAGTTGCGGCCTTGAGAAAATTCTCTCGCGCGGAACTTTCTGAACTCGGGTCTGCATCGACTACAGCGCTAAGAAAGACACCATATTGACCGAAAAGGAGATCGGCAAACTGAATGCTGTCCCGGCAGAATTCCAGCATGACGGCCTTGTCATTACCTCGGAGGTGCCATTGTTCCGTGCAGTCAAATATCGTAGTCAAAGCTTGCCATAAATACTCCCAGAGCTTCTGCAGTGACAGTATCTCCCGTCGATCGGCCAATTTGCGGGTTCTGAGCATACCAGTTTGACTATCGCACAGGATGTCGATAATATCTGTGCCCGTATGCAGCATTCTTGGTGCGGAGGCAAACGTCTTCATATTCGAGATACGTCGGAATGACCAGCTCAAGCCGTACATAGTTGTCGTGAAAAAAGATTCCAGCAGGTGTGAGATCGCATCTCTCCGAGCTGATTGACCACTAACGTTTTTGATCAGATCCACGGCAGCCTGATATGTGTCCAGATCAGCTGCAAACAGGGCGGAGATTAAAGCACTGCTAGTATCCTGGCTCTTGAATAGCTCATTCAAATGTTCAGGCTTGAAATCTGCAAGGCGCTCGATGATTTGACAAGACAGATTGGTCAAATGACCGTAAATCACATTGAAGTGAGTTTTCTCCGGATTTGACTCTCCTTTCGTGGGAAACTTCTCAAGGCCAACAAGAGGTAATATACCAAGCAAAGCAGAGGTTGAGAGAGCTAAGTTATCTTCGTGGAGATGTCTAACAACCGCATCCCAGATCGCAGCAGAGTATGTACTAACTCCATGTTGGAGGGTGTTCTGGTGCAGGATCACTTCATAGTCACTCTTGAGGGACTGACACTCCAGGGCAAGCGTATTACGGATGACGTCCATACACAAGGATGAGATCTCTCGCTGGCGTCCCTGCTCAACCGCAAACTGGGGAGGACGCAGTATCCTCTCAATATTTGCGCTTACAACACCTAGCGTTTCGGACAGTACGATGCGAGCCACGGAGCCTCTTGAGGATTCATGGTCGGTGAAGCTGCGAAGGGTATGAAGGAGAATGACCAGACCTGTGTGGAAGCAATGATACCTGGCCAGATTGGGGAACCGTGAGTCCTGCAGTCGGTCGAGAAGTTGGTAGACAAGGGATCTGCAAGCTGAGGGTTGATGCGCTCCTTTGAGAGACGACATGAACGGACTAATCCATGATAACATATCTTTCATAGCAGACTTTTCGAACGGCTCACCCTCCGTGGCCTGCATCAGAAACGCATCCAGCTGAGGGTTGTAGAACACGAGTTCAATGAGAGCTTGAGGTGAAATCGTCTGCATAGCATCCCAGAAATCAATTGGCGCCTTTTCCAAGAAGATTTGTATCGTGTTGAGTAAGAACCGTAAGCCCGGTGAAGGGATACCAAGGTGGTCCACAGAGAGACGGCAAGGATCGATTTCGAGTGCGCGAAGTTGATGGGTAATTTGATCCTTATCCAGCCTTTTCACTACAAGCTGCATGCCACGCCACAGCCGCTGGATGACTGCTACTTGAGCTGGCTGTTGCGAGGCGGTTTTGAGTGCATCAACAAGACCCTCCTTGATCGCCCAGTCGAATTCTTCAGCGGTCGGGGGGCGTGAATATCGCATCCAAGAGTGAATGGCCCAGAAGCTGCGATTCTGGTTGGGCTCGAACAGGAAGCGGGTGACAGCAGGGATGTAGTCGGACACCTTCAAACTGCGCTTTGTTTGGATCAGCCGGAATGGCTCATCAAAATACTCCTGCAAGAGACTGTCACTGCGCAACATGGCATCACAGCTCAGAGTCTCGAAGATTGAAAGCAAGGATGCTCGGTCCAATACATGAAGCCCGATCTCCTGGGGTGGAACCTCTTTCAGTTGCGCCGTAGCAGTGGCCAAGTTCTTCGTAATTCGCTTGATGTCCCACTCGTCAAGCATGCGGGCAAACTTTTCAATATCCTCATCGTCGTAGTTCTCTTTTAGCTGCTCCATCAGCCAGATCTTCCCTGTATAATACTGCTTGATGCAGAAATCGCATTTTTCCAGTGAATCGTCTAGTTTCCGCCAGATCCAAGACTGTACTTCTTCGACACCTTCCTGATTATAGGCCAGGATACGCATGCAGGACAGAAACTTCTCTTTGCGAATGTTGGCCTCCGTGACTATTTCTTGAACCGTTTTCCCTGACTCGTCTACTTGACTGGGATCGTCGTACCGTCCATGATCGTCATCGTGCTGCCTGGGGCACAGGATATGAATGGCATCGGGAAGAGACTGTAGCTCTCTGTAGGAGAACAACTCGGTCAGTGAACCGCCAGTGAAAGGTAGATGATGGTGGATACGAACCCGATAACATCCATGACCTCCATAGCGAGAGTGATTCAAGGAAACACCGGGAGGTGAAGGCTTGGAAAAGTCCTCTCCAGGGCGTATGAGAAATTGAGAAATCAGACCACAATGACTTTGTGTATGAGCATGGCTACTGTGCGGCGAAGGGAGGAAGGATAGCTAGTGATTGCGGAGGCGGGCGTGGTGGGAGAGAATCAAGTTTCATAAAGAGGACATTTGGTGAGGTGATGAAGAAGTAAGAAATATTCTGACTTCCCCAGTCCGATACGAGGTATCGCCTCCTGCTGGGTTTCGAGCAGCAGCGGATCTGCTCAGAAATTGATCGGTTCAATGTGACGGGATTGAAAGTTGATGCCCTTCGATAGGTACAAACGTAGTGAATCGGTGCAGTCCCTTCCGTGTGAACGATTGGCTGGAGAGGAAGGCGGTGAGCCATGCTCTGCCGATAATCCACTTAACGCGCGAAGACGCGCCTCACCAACTTTGCGGCAGGCACTACGGTACGTAACCTTGCGGGAACTGCGGTGGAATTTACTGAGTATAGACTACCACGGAATTCTGTTCGACTGCAGTTTGAACAGCAAATGTACTATTATGTAGATTATGGAGGGCGTAGGGATTAATAAGTTCACCGAGCTTGAAAATTAGAAATCAATAGAACCAATGGCCCATCTTCACATGATATTCATTTCCACGTGCCGACTCCAGGGCACATATTACCATCCAATGGTACAAGTGCATGAAAATGTTCCACCTAAGATGGAGGAGAAAAGAAAGGGGGGACTGCGATAGACTGAGCGCGTATGCAATGAGACGCTTTTGTACAGAGGAAGTAGGTAGATTGAGGTGAAGGACATTAAAGAGGAAAGCAGGCCAATGCGCCATGACTCCCAGGTCAGGTGTAAATGAAAATATTGGAAGAGAATGGAATCACTGCTGGAATGCGGTCAACAGGATGTAAGCGAACCAATTGCGCCGGATCGTTTAACCATGGTACCAAACGCCTTCTATCGTGGAATATGGGGTACTCTACTCGTCAGACAACAAAAAAAGGAGAACAGGTTGAATATATGGACAGGAAGGTCGACAAAAGCCCGTTGCAGGAGAGCAACTCCGAAGGTCGGGCTCTTGTGTAAAACAGAAGCGAAGGTGAAGAAAGGTCGATATATGTACGGTGTAAAGCGTGTGGTATCAAATCGCATGCAATGGAGGATCATGAGGGCCTTTAAGAGGGCTATCGGGTTCTTGGACTCTGGGATATGAGGATTCCCGCGTCAACAATTCGGATGGTTGGAAGTCTTGGTCCACCTCAAATGTAGGTGGAACTCGGTCAAATGAATGTCGTGTTCGCTCTGATGAATAATGAACATAATCCACAGGCTGTGGATGAGGTAGTCGGGTGGTGTCAAGGCTGGAGGCATAGGCCGTTCCGCTACTGCCATTCTTGCTGTGTGACTTGTGGGTACGAATGGTCGGAGGATAGGACGGAGAGAATATCTGCTGTTCATCTGAAAATGGATCGTGCTTCATAGTCGGCTGTATCGGCTTCACGAAATCCGAAGACGTCGAGGACTCATTGCTAAGAGCGCGAGCTGCTGCCGCTTTTTCAGCTGCTCGGGGTGGGACATAAGCCTCATACTGGTCAAGGAATTTGAACTTTCCTTGAGACACCTGCTCGCGTATTATATCGACATCAAGTGGAAAGAAAACCTTCTGGAAAGACTTCACAGCGAAGCGAGGCAGTAAGCAGATCATGACAGTGAGTAATAGGACAACCCAAAACGACAGCGCGCTGTAAACTTCCAGACCAGCGTGGAAGAAAGTGGTTGAAGCCTCAAGCGAAGAGTAAATCCCAGTCCAGAGAAAGATAAGGAGGGAGCTTATGCCGTTGATCATGACTGTAAGCCAATCCCACCTGTAGGAGTTCATTAGGATGTAGCCGTTGCTCGCGAAAACAGCGCTGGTGCCAACCAGGACACCCATGCGTGTTCGATCGTTGATATTCAAGCCATTGTGGTGCACGAATGTTGCGGGACTATATAAGAGATATGGCATGAAAAAGCAAATAATAGACTGATACAAGCCATCGGCCATATATAGCCTGGGTTCTGTCAGTACCGGCTGCAGGAGGGGGGTGTAAGACCGCATACCAGAACTTGAGCTGCGACCACTCTTTTCGTTCAATACCTCTCATATATAGTTGAGGCACGGCTAATGACACCTTGTCATCAACATCTTGATCGAAAATGCCCATCAGAATCACAGGAAGTGAAGTGAACGCGACGTTGACCAAAACAATGTAGGTGTAGTCGAAAAGATACGAGCCGTCGTAATCATTGTAAATCGAGTACCAGAAGAGCGCTAGTGTCCAGACCAGGTTCTAAGAAGGTAAAATTGTCAGTACATATATACGATGAAGTTGGTGATGCGTCGCACCTTATAGAAGAAATTTGCGATTGTCTCCGCCATGCGACGGTATGAGTACCTGCCGTGGACGAGGACAAGACGTTGCAAAAACCGAAACTGCCCGATGGCATAGTCAGATGACATAGCGGCTTGTCGACCTTCTTCACCAATGATTCCGACGCCGACGTCTGCCTCCTGGATCATGGCTACATCGTTGGCACCGTCTCCGATGGAAAGGGCCATGATGTCTAGGCCATTTTTGACCATGCGTACAACTGCTGCCTTCTGAGCAGGACTCACCCGACAGCAAAGAACGGACTTGCACTGTTTGCACAGCAAAAGGAAGCGTTGCTTCAGTTCTTCATCGAGCATTAATTTGAGAGTTTCGCCGTCAATGACAACGGCATGCGTGGGGGCGGGCGGCCTATGATCGCCTCGCGCAGCAATCAATTCTTCGTCCGACCCAGTAATCCCAAAGCGTTCCAGTTGTTTGTTCAGCTCTTGCGACGCCCGTTGCGGCTGGTCACTGGGAATGTTGAAGACAATAAGCTCCATATCATTGTCCAAGAGGTTGCATGAGAAGCCAATGTTGATGGCTGTCTCAACTTTATCACCAGTTAAGACCCACAGCTTGATTCCGGCGTCAGCAAGCAGGGAAATCGTGTCTGGGACACCATCCTGAAGTCTGTCCTCAATTGCGGTCCCGCCGATAAGCATGAGATCTTGCTCGATATTGCTTGCAACTTCTTCGAGCTTTTCTTCGCGATCAGTAAGCGCGGCAGCGGCAAGATCATGTTCTTTGCTCCAAGCCAAATATTCCTCTTCGCTGAGCTCACGATCCGCTACACACAAAGTACGCAGACCTTCGCTAGCGAACATCTCAAGGTGCTGTGCAGTTTGTTTCCGTAGCTCCTGTTGCTTGCCTGGGGCTAAGCGCGAATAGATAATGCTATCCGCACCCTTACAGAAGAGCCGTATACTACCATCGGGCATTCGAATGATCGCACTCATGCGCTTTCTCGTGGAATTGAACTCCAGGGTATTGAGAACAGTATATGTCCTTTCCTCGCCCAGAACGTTCACGATTAGGTCATCATTTGACCTTCCAAGCACAGTAAAGCCACAGTCTCTCGCTGTACCTACCAAGGCAGCCTCATCAGGGGACTGTGCTTGGAACTCAATTTGAGGAGGATCTCCGGGCGTTTGCTCTGTGATGACCGTGTGGCATACTGCAAGAGTGAGCATAAAATGTTCTGTTGCTTTTCTCTGGGCTTCGCCAGAGTGACCATCCAGGTCCGCAACAAAGTCTGGCGAGATGAATGTCAAGCTCTCGTCGCGTAAATATGGATTGTCGTACATTTTCCGAAGCATGCCCAACATCCGTGCAGTGTCTGCGGCCAGCTTCTTTCGGGCATTGGCGGCCATTGCATCGGCATCGCCCCCTTCTCGCCGGACGATACCCACTTGAGCTTCTGTGAAAGCTTCGCCGTAAGATACGCCATTGATAGTGCATTTCTTGAAATCCATAACATTTTGGGTCAATGTGCCCGTCTTGTCGGAGAAAATATACTCGATCTGCCCAACATCATCCGAGATGTTCCAGGATTTCGGGATGCACGAAATCCCCAGTTTATCATAGTACATGAAGACGTCGCTATGAATGAAAACTGCTTGAATGGTGCGGACGATTTCCAGTGAGATGTAAAGCGAGATCGGAACAAGATTCTGGAATAGAATCAAGGCGACCCAGAAAGTAATGAAACCAGTAACGGCAGGGGTGCTTCCGTACGATCCAAAATCGAAATAATCTAGAGACCTGTGAGACGAGCCCCAAGCAGCCCCATTGGCGATTCCGCAAATAAGGCACATGACGAACAAGATAACAAAGTTATAGATGACATTCCAATTGAGATCCTTGGCGAGTCTGGGTCGTTTGGAAGGGGTGACACCCGAGTTCAACATAACCTTTGTCTCCTCGCCAGTGAAGAGAACAACACCAAGAGCCCACTCAGTATTCCGGAGAGAGCAGCCACGCAAAAGTAGATTGTTAATCGTCACAGGCTCCACCATCTCCCGTCGAGGCGCATCGGGATAGTCTGGGTCACGCTGATCCCAGCGCAAGGCTCCGTTGTAGGCATAGAGGTTAGGGTGTGGGGCCTCGCTATCGATCACGAATTCTGCCTTCTCGCAATCTCGAGCATGTCTGACTTGGCGGCCACAGTGGAGGGCATGTCGGACTTTGAGGTTGGTCTCCCCGTCTAAACTCTTGGTTTCCACGTAGCAAGCGCCATCTGGGTCGGATGTCGATAGTAAGATGACGTCCGCGGGAACCTGATCTCCGTTATATAATCGAACATAGTCTCCGACCTGAATGTTCTTCCAAAAATCGCGCTTGAATCTTGCTTTCCCTAAGGTTTGCTTCGACATATCGACTATGCTTCCACCTTTCCTTGGAGGAGTTGCAGAAGCATCTCGTTCCATGGCCTGAAATCCGGCAGCTTTGTCCGGCATCGATCGATAGTCGACATCCGCAGCCGGGAGAGGCCAGTCTGGTCGAGCATCGGGGGTAAAGTTCTGAACGGAGGTCATTTGAATAGCATCGTCTTCACGTTGA